CCAAAGGACTCAGAGCTACTTACACATTCTGATCTACAATGGCATGAAGGTGCTTTTCGACTGATGGCATCTCCAACGCAAAGGCGCTTCATTAAGAAGATGCCAAGAATCAACATTTTGCCTGTTTCAGCCTTTAACTACCAAAGCTGGTTAAGATTGCTCAAGCTGAAGGAAGGACAAGTCACTCTGCAGGCAAGTACAACTTGTTTGATGACCGCTTCGAGTCACTTTTGGGGGCACAGCAGACAAGCTGTCCTGTAGTTTTGCATCAGACTTCTTAGCTTTGTTGTGGGAATCCACCTGGTCACTGCCTTCCCCTTCATCTGTCATGTTTTAGGATGGAGCTTCTTTTGGGCAGGATGCCTCTGTAAGCAAAGGACCAAACAGCCTCCTTTTCAAAGCTGATTTCTTTTTAAAAGCGTGGACATGGGGAAGGTGGCAGAAGGTGGGATGTGACTTCAAAGCAGATGGAAATGCAGAAAAACAGTTGCTCAACACCTATAAAAGTCAGGCCCACTCCTCCACAAGTTGTGTATGTATTTAGGCATCTGCTTTTTGAGGCTTGGCCTCTCAATGATCTAAATCCATCACAGGTTTTTGGGAACATGCAGTTGATTAAACAAACAAAGATACGACAAGCCATAAGGATCCCGCTGCAGTCCTGGCAGCAGTCAGCTCTTCTGCACTTAGGGACAGCTTCTGTATTACCTGCGCTCCTGGTGGGAGCTTTGCCATCTGCTAATGAATGAAAGGCAGAGATTAGAACAGGGTGCTGTACAAACTTGATTCCACAATGATTTCTAAGCTGGTGGGACAATAAGGGATGAGCCCCTGCCTTGTCTGAGATGCAAATTCCAGATTGGAGTCACGGGCTGTTCCAACCTAGACCATCTTATGTGGCCATGTGCGTATTTTGGAAGGGGGTCTGTAACATCTATTTCTGTAGGACTGAATGGACACAACGCAGCAGGACAGAGACAGACAGCTTTTCAGAAGTGTTTAAAGACGTCCAAAAAGCCTGTAGAAATGCCACACTGAAAGCCAGGAAGGATGTGCTCAGAAGCACTTGGAAGCTGAAAGCATTTCTTTTACAATCTATTTCTTCCTCGATTAGGAAAACTCACCTGATAAAAGGAGCAAGAAATTACTCTGCTTAATTACACAGATAAGGGAGGAAAACAGAATCATTTAATTCCCACAAGCAACCCTTGTCTTTGTCTCAGCCTGTTTTTCACGCCTGGATTATGCTAACACTATTAATCTTTGTCTGTGACTAACTCCCGGGTTTTGTGTTAGTGACCTGATTCTGCACTAACAAGCTCCTCCCAGTTTGGTGAGGCTCCCCATGTGATCTCTTCTTCCCCCTAAATAAAGTTGAAGAATTTGGCTGGGATCAGTGAGTGCTGCTGAGGTGGCGGGTGCGTGGAGCTCTTCCACCTCCCTGCATCTGCAGCACCAACAACGCGCCTGTTCAGCACTATCTGCCTCCGGTTTGAAGACCAAGGAGGGGACGAGACCGGCCAGATCGCAAGGTCTGGAGCTACCTCCGTGGTGAGGCTACAGCACGGGCTCCCAGTTTGCCACCCCCCTGACCACTCTCTCCTTCCGAAAGTAGCCCAGCGAGTGTTGGAAGATGTGGCCGGAGGAGGTGAGTGCTGCATGGCTATGATGAATCCTTTGTGCGGAACGGGAGGCTCCTTAAGAAACAAAGTGGAGGAGCGAGGGGGGCAGCGGTCGCGATTTTGCAAACGGACACAGGGAAAAGCGTCCTTCCCTTCCCCGTTAGCGAAGGGCACGTGTGCCCCTTTCAGAGAGAAGCCACCCCAGGAGCTGATCCAACACAGCTCGTTTTCCTGGCGCGGGGTGCAGAGTGCAGCAGCAAAAAGCCCAGGCACCGCGAAGCGCCTGCTGCAGACGCGCTGCTGGTCCGGCGGGTGCCGAGCCGAGCAAGGGCTGCTCCTGCTGGGCTGCATCCTGCTCCAGGCTCCGCAGCCTCCCAGCCGGGGCACCACGGCGCGGTGCGGTACCCGGCGCACGGCGCTGGCACGGCACAGCACGGAGCAGAGCAGCACCCAGGGCTGCGCTGCTCACCCCGCTGCCCCCCAGCCTTGCCCAGGGCCACTCGCAGCCCTCGCTGGGGCTTATCCAGCTCTAGGCAGAGGTGCGACCGTGCTCCCTTGGGTACCGGCAGCTTTCTATGCACGCATCCACCCACCCTTCACAGAGACGCGTGTAACATCCTCTTACAGCACCAAGGTGTGCAAAGCACATCTGTGAACACACCCTCCTTTGCTCACCCAACGTGCATCTTCCCCTCTATACCCACCAGGGCTCCAGGGACCCCTCACCCATTGCCATTCCTCATGCACCCACTTCTCCACGCATATACAAGCCTTGTCTCACTACCTATGCATGCAGGCTGAGCCCCTCAACCCCCAAAGGGGATGGTGGCATGTCCCTCAGCCCCTGCCAGCCTCAGCTAAAGCAATGCACAGGCGCCTGTCATGTAACCCACTGCTCTCTGACACATTAACTGATCTCAAATGCAGTTATTTCACATAACTTTACCCATGTTAAATGTGATTTGGAGCTAAAAAGAAAGTCAACGCTGACCAGAACACACCGAATCCTTAATATCTTTATTCCCTTCTCCCCTCTTGCCTACTCATTTGCCACAGTGCACATGAGCTCTACCCACCCCAGGGACAGGCTGCCTGGGCTTTCAGATCAGAGAGGGAGGCAGTGAGGAGGAACAAGGTGCTTTCTGCTTACCTACAGCCCTCAAATTACACAGAGCCTGTCTCCAGCCCATGCTGTGGGAAAAGGAATGTGCTCTTATTCCAGAAACGGCACAAAGTAGCTGCATTTAAAGTGACATTCATCACTCCCCCTCTCAGCCCCCTGCTTCCTCCCACCCTGTAACAACTTATTTTCCTTGCACAGTTTTAAAGGTGAATATGAGTATGGAATATATTGTAGTCCTGGGCTGTAACTATTTGTCACAAATAGGCACACTGGCTGAAAGGAGAAGAGTTTTCTTTTCAAATGAGTTGGACGAAGACCTGAATGTTCAAATAGTCTTTTGCTCTTTGGCACATTTAAAGACAAAATGTCATCCCTGCAGGAGTTTCAATCCAAGAGAAAGGCTGCAAACATCCCAGTTATAATTCCTTTCCTTGCTAGCGGTAGGGAAGGAATAAAAAAGGAGAGAGGTGAGAAGAGGGAGGGGGATATGAAACAGATCTCATCTGTTCATCTCCCTTTCACAACCAGTTAGCCTAGAGTCACACTCCTTCACCCGTAAAGTAGAAGAGAATTGAATGAAAAGGCCATGGATTGCCTTCAGATCCTATTTTATGAAGGTTCTTAGGTTTGGGGTTTGTTCATTTGAATTCAGCTCTGAACAGCTTTCAGGTTTCATATATCCTATAACTCCAGAGAACAATTAAATATGCACTTGTACCTGGACTGGTAAGTACTCGTTCTGACTCCAAAGAACCCAGTACCACAGAGGAGCAGAATAAACTGATCCCAGAAGCAGGCAAATTGGGAAGGGGGGAATAAAAATCGCTGAGCAAGTTGAAGCAACATTTAAAATACAGAGTAATGAAGGCATTGAGAGGCTGCCTCTGTAATCACCCTTGATTTGAAAGGTGTGTGGGAAGAGCAGAGAATGTGCAAAAGAAATGAGTAGGAACTGAATTAGCAAAAAGTTAAGCATGAAAGACAATTCTCAAGGGAAAAAAGACTCCCCATTCCACAGGGTACATTTTTTAGCTGATGATCTAAGACTGTGCCTGTAGCAGGAAAAGTGAAGAACGGCTTAGCAGGAAAATCCACTCTCCAAAACAAGGACTAGTTTGTGCTGTTGTGAGAAAGACAACCTCAACATAGCTTTTAAAATGCACTAAAGCCTATTTTGAAGTGATGAGCATGAAGGAACAGACATGTTCAGCTGTTCAGAGAGCAGCACTTCGATACAGCGCTGTTTCCCAGATTTAAAAGGGAAAAAGAATCAAACCCTTCCCTAGGTATGAGCACGGAAAGGTGTAACACTGAGTGTCTCTTCCCGACACATTTACTGCAGTGTGGCTCAGCCTGTCTGAACACCTATAGGGAGCATTTAATGTACAGTTTCAAAGCTACCCTCAAAATGTCATACAAGGATTTCATTGATCAGAATGATAAACTTCCCTCTCACCACCATACAGACAAGGTCTAAAATATCTACCACAAGTACAGTTTAGAAACACTGTTTTAAGGAGGAAATTAATCAAGTGCTTAGTCTGTAACATAACTTACGTGTAGTTTGGTCCAGGTAACAGACACCATCATCTTCCATAAGGATTTTGGCTTTATGCAGACAAAAGAGAGCATCTGCCAAAGCATGCAGTTACAAGAAGGCTGTAATCACACCTTAAAAAGCTGCTGGTGTTTATCAAATCACAGTTACACTAAATTAACATGTTCTGCTATCATGAGAAGTCACCAATAAAATCAGTGGGATGAACATGAACTTCAGACAGAGTCTAGAGCTCCAACACAACAGGCCTGGTGCTTCAACTGCTCCACACTTCAGGCACTGCCTAACTAAAATTAAAATCTTATACCCCAGAATTAGCTCTGTGATGGTTCTCTATCAACTAAATGCCCAGAGAAACAGCATGTTACACTTAGGGTCCATGCCCACACGAGCCTGAGCAGTCACACACTGCAACTTCCACCTGCGTCAAAAGGAGCTGTTTTGCTCAGCACCTTTCTATGCAGAGGTAAGATGGTACCAGGTTCTGCTCAGAAATCACCTTTGTCATACGCAGGTGTCCCTTCAAGTTAGCCAAGCCCACTGCAGCTCTAAAGAAAAGCAGGATCCCACTGTTCCTTTTACAGGAACTTTCTGTTGGTTTATGGATCCGACCAATGTGGGAATGAGTTACTACAAGTGGTTTTTAAACTCACACTTTTTTTTTCTTCTGGCATAAGAAAAGACAAAACCTCAGGTCTAGTGAAGACAGAATAAGTTGAACAACTGCTAAAAGCAGAGTTTTCTTGCTCACTGGCATAAAAACAGCATTCAGCATTCTGAGAGATCAGGACTAGAACTTTATACACTGAATTAAAAGATTAATCAACTTGCTTAAATCTTTATCTACGTTGTCACTTATATCACTGGGTGCAACCACAAAGGGTTTATACAAGACATATTTCTAAGGATGACTATGTGTAAAAACAGAGCACATTTTCTGTTCTGAGATCAACAATACAGAAAATAGAGGCATAAAGAGGTGGTTCGATTTTAGGACTTCTCAGATAAGCCCATAGTGTTTAACACCTACAAACCCCACGACACTGCAAACATACCTGAACAGTTGTTCTGTAACAACCCAACATTTACCATTTTAGCCCATACCTCCAGAACCTGCTGGGAAGCAGGAATCCCAACTGGCTCTCAGCTGGAAGCTCATCAGCACTTTGTAGACCTGAAACCTTATGATTTCCAAAAGTATTTTAAGCACCCAAAGATGCTGGACATAAGTTGTGCAACAACTCTTAAGGCGTACGTAAGTTCACCCTTGCCATTTTCAAAACCCAAATGGCAAGGGTGGACTTACGTACTTAAGACATTCCTAAAATCTGGCCCTTTGCTCTTACATGCGAGTCTATCAAAGATGCAGGGAAAAATAAGTAGCAAGGCTAAAGCATCTCACTACAAGCTCTCTGAGGCCTTTCCTTCCTTCTTTCCTTCTCCCATTCCTTCCTCCTTCCCCCCTCCCCTTGTCCCTGCTTTCATTTGCTCTCACTCCCCCTGTGGCTTTCACCTGCAATTTCGGGCGCAAGGGTATCAGTAGATGTCTTGCTACACTAGCTCTGGATGAGGAGAAAAGCAGCATTTACATAGCAGGTTTGCAACATGATGGATACATTTCATACAAATGTTTTCTACATCAAAAAGATGCAAATTTAGAGGCAGGAGGCGCATTCTTCCGTAATGCAATAAAAATAGAAGAGACAATTTGAAAGGCAGCAGGGACATTTACAAGCAAGCTGAAAGCAGAAAGCAAGCAAGCCTGAAACTCTATTAAAAAGCCAATATATATTTAAGATGGTATAAAAGCCAGAAGTAATTCAGCGCTTGAAAATGCAGTCTGGAGGAGCACAGGACACACACGAAGATAGGAACCAAAGATTCTCCTGCTGCTGAGATCAAAGAGGATTTTGTAATGCTACTTCACAAGGAGCAGGTTCATAGTTTGAGGTCAGTCGTCCTTACTTTGGAAAGATGGTTTTGTGTCCACTTGAGAACAGTATTATACCTTTTCCTCACTTGCTGCTGGTTTATGTGTCTTAACAACCAGTCTTAGTGTCATCAGGAAGCCAAAGGAGGTTTGAGATAGCCTAATGGTCAGCTACATACAATCAGCTTCCTATTAAAACAACACAACTGCAATAGCTTAGGTCTGATTTCTGGCCTTCATCATTTTGATGAAGCTGAGGATTTCAGACAGCCACCAAACTCGATGCATCCTTTACCTGAAACAGAGAATCAGAAAACAGAGTTATCTGAACAATTTAAATCCCAACAAACCACAGCCCATTAAAACCTCCTCCAAGGCTGGTCTCCCACCAGGCATTTTGACTGTTGGACTGGTTAGTTTTTAAGGATTCAATGCAAATTATCATTATTCTTTTTTAACAGAACACTGGTAAGGTCATCACTACCAAATAGAGGCAAGTTTTGCCCTTATAAAAGGAGTGTCAGTAAAATCAACATTCTTCTTTCTTTCAGTACTTCAGATTTGACAGATGCCAACAACATTAATTAACACTTGAGACTCATTTTGTTACTGTAATTTGCTTTGTTCCTCTCATACAAATTGCTTCCAAGCTGCTCTTCCTTTCCACCCTCACACAGCTACACGAAGCCTCAAGAATAGATTTCTCTCTACTTTGCTGGAGTACTCGGAGGCACAGAGGTTTGGCTCAAAGAACAAAAGACAATGCCTGTCCTAAGGATATTAGAAAACAAGGAGCAGATTTAGTTCCCCCCATTTTATATGAAGCTGCACTTTAAACGTCTGCTTGCTAAAACAGAAAGATACAAAAACATGAGCCACAGTAGCAAAGTCCATCTCTAGTCAAGGACTTGTAGCCTATGCTTGTGTAAGTACCAAAGTAAAACATCACTATTTCATGAGAAGGTTTAGCATGTATTCAGCTTACAGATATTCTAATTCACTTTCATGCAGTTTCCTCCAGCAAATCACTATTTTAAGGAAAAAAAAAAAAAATCACTCAAATTATTCTTGTAAATACCTGAACCTTTCTCCTTTATGTTATTAAAAGGTGGTGGTGATTAAATGTGCACTGAGACATTAGTTCGCTCATAATGCTCAAACAAAATACACTGAATACTTACGACTCACAAACCAAACGGAGCTTGTAAGAATAATTTATTCTCTACTGCTTGAATTCACTTAGAGTATGGACAGGAAAGGAAGTTTTGGGGGGTTCAATGGAAAGTTTTCTCATGAGAACGCGTTGACATTGAAACTTCAGGAGATGGAACTTGACTCAAGTTGAAATGTGCGCTCTGTGGGTGCACAAGCATGTACCGTCTCAAAGTCTAAGCAGAGTACCAGAGGTCCAACCCTTTCTTAGTAGGATGCTGCAGTATGAGCCAAGACATTTACCTCTACTACTACCATGGTCTCACCATTGCTCAGCAGAGGTGAATAACCACTTCCCTCAACTCGCTGACAGCACTTTAATGCCTATAAAAGTAGCCTCCTCCCAAAATGCAGCTGAAGCACAAGCAGTACTTTGCAAACTCTTAATAGCATTCCTGTTCTGCTTTTCAAAGCACTCATACCTGAATTGATGATGGTGAAATGAAGTTACAAATAACATTCACTCACCTTCTTGGAACAGTACCAGATACCTAATTATTTTTCTATCTTTTCCATTTTCTGTTCCCCATAGGGATCTAATAGCTGTGGATACCAATGAGATGAGACACAGGTTCAGGCAAGTATGACAAGATTTGATTTTCATTAGCACTGAGACAATTCCACCTTCCTAGACTTTCATGTGGGTGGTGGACACTTAGCTACTCCATAAATCAGGAGGGCATTTCTCAGTTCCTTAAGTTCTTTTAGTGCAATTTCTTTCTTCAGGCTCTTGAGAAGGATGTAAAATACATGGCCAAGTAGCACTGAAATATTCTATTGTCATAACTTCCTGATATACGACTTGCCAGTAGTGCACCATGCAGGCATTCATCAAAGATGTGGTATGTTGCACTTACTCCCCTACGTGAAGTGAACTTCCAATCGGCTTTGCAAGCACAGATTCTTTTGTCCTAAACTACAGTAAAATCTGGCTTTTCAACTTTAAAACTAACATTTATTTTTGTCTACGTGAACATATTGTTCCAAACTGGCAAGAGCTGCTCATTTACATCTTTTAACACCAACAGAATGCTAAGCTATAGTAAACAGTCTTTATTACAAACCAGAGCATGCTGTTAATTAGAAAGAGAGACCCTCAGTGCTCTGCAAGCCCAAGTGGGATGAATCCTGTGAAGAGGATGAATTACAATTGCATCCTGTCAGAGCACCTCTGAGCAAACAGTTCTGCTGTGAGAGCTCTGAAGCCTAATTTTGGCCTCAAAGCATTTGGGAGTAGGGTGGAGGGGGTTTAGAGCAAGCTGTTATTTGAAATAAATAGCTCTGAAAGTGCTTACAGCTCCTCAAAGTACAATATCTTGGGGCCAAATCCTCCTGTCCCGAGTGGCAGCAGAAATAGGCAAAAAGCAGAGCAGCCTTGCTCCTCATCACAGTTAACTCTTAACATGAGATTTGGAACAGGGAAGACCAGCTCCTTGCCTTCTCCAGAGCAGCTCTTGACTTCAGAACTGCTGAGATGAGTAAGTTTGTTAGGACTTGTCACACACAGCATGTATCAGAGCCAAATGCCTTGGATGTATTTGAAATTCTATCAGAACTATGAAAGAGTAAGGGTTTTAATTCTAGGTTACAGCTTCCTGCCTTTAGGAGAGCTCACCTCTTCAGTAACTCTGTGCCATTTCTCACCCAGGTCATTTTTCCAGGTTCCAGAGCTACAATCAGTGAGGACATCTCCTGAAATCCAGTGTAACGAGGACAAAAACCCCAAATCCCCTTCAGACAAGGCAAGTCTGAGAGCAAATATTGAAGAAGAGGGGAAAATAACTCCCCTGCGTTAACCTGAGAGGTACTGTGTCAGCTGATTTTGTTAATGCCTGATGTCAGCAAAACCAAGCTGCCCCTCAGTAAGAAAATACACCTTTGATTTCACTCTATGGGGAGTATTTGAGGGAAGAAGAAACCTCTCAGTGAAGAAACCCCCTAAGGTATAAACTACACTTGTTGCAGTGCTTGTTTTCCTTTTGCGCCTGCAGATAAGCCCTATCACCACAATGTTACTGGAAAATTGATTTTCTCTGGTTATCTCTTCAAGAAAAAGAGCCTCAAACTGCAGCCAGCTGAGAGCAGCCTTCCCTGCCCCATGACAGAGACACCATCACATACCTGACTTGCACAACTTTGGATATAGATGACCTGTACTGCAAACTCCGTGACACCCACTGCACTCCTTGGCTCCATCAACCAGCAAAGCCTCTGAGCCCCATCTATGCCTGGGGATCCTGAGGAGAAACCTGCCTCACAGATGCCACAGGTGACAAGGGAACCATAGTTCTTGCTTCTTCAGAAGTCCTGATCCAGGGAGAACAGCCACTGCATCCCAATGAGGCCCAAGTTCAAAGAAGTCCCTGTACCTGCACTTCTGGCCTCAACAGACTATGAAAGCTTTGCTAACCTGAACACCACAAGAGACACTGAAACCACGCAGCTAGAGGGGTCCCTCTCATCCACCATTGCACTGGTAATAGTGCTGGTTATCATCTTCTCTTTGTTAACAACATCCCTAGTAACCTACTGCTTTCACAAGTGGAAACTGAGAGGTAAAAGACTCCAGAAGGCACAAGAGGAGTATCAGAAAGACCAAGAAAAGAGCATTTTTCAAAGCACGCCTGGACTAGTTTCATAGAAAGACTCCAAAGGATTCACCATGAAATGCTCTTGCATTACCTGAACATGGAAATAATAAAAGAATGGCAACTATGACATTTCTAAGCAAACCTATCCTTGTTTTATCTCATTTATAAGAGTTGTTGGCAGTTTGGAGATTTCCTACAGCTTTATTATACATATATATATTTATATAGTCTCATTTGTGCAAAGTAAACCCAAGGCAATCACGTATTTTTGATCTCTGTTGTATTACTAAACCAGTGCATTTAAATGTGTTGCTCACACTCCTTCAGAAACCCACTGGCCTGTGGAAGGCAGAAGGTCAGGTCTGGTTATTGCAAAGCAACACAGCAGCTCAGTAAAGCTCAGTGGAGTTGTGTTGTTTTGCACCCATCTAATCATCTGGCTGAAGATTGTGAAATCCAATTGGAGTCTTAAAGTAAATCAGGTTCTCAGACACTCAGCAGTAGCAGCCTGGTCCTGAAAGCTCCCAGCTGAAGAACCTTCCACATCTTCAGCAGCAGTTCCATGCAGAGGGCATGCAGGACCCAGCCCTATGTGCATTTGCAGGTGGTAAGTCAGTATTTCTTTCAGGCGAGGTTCAGTGACGTGGGGTGGTAGTGGCATTCCAACTGCAAGTGGATTAAAGACCTCCAGTGCTCCTGAAACCCAATTTACCAACTTAACACCCTTTTTAAACTAGGCTTGTACTTCTTTTTAAACCAACCATACGATGGTGTGTTTTTATTTTCACAGCCTGTAATATGTCATGGGGAAATGGCAGCTCTGTTGTGAGTAGCATCTCTAAGTCACATTTTCTAACAAAGTGATGGATGTAATATTAATATACTTCATTGTTTTAAAAAGTAGGAACCATGTAAAATTACAAGAAGCCCTGCTCAAGTAGCTAGCTTGCCTGCACTTGCCAGTAATGCTGTATGTATTTTTAAACAAGCTATAATACTGTGATGCTGTAAACTTACTTCTGTAGGCAAAAAATGTTCTAGTTAAAAATGTCAAGATGAAGGATGTAAATGTTCTTAAAGTGCTATCAACTAAAGAGATGAATTTTCACAGAAGATTCTAAAGGATTCTGTTACATGCTACAGATCTATTTTACAAACCTATTTATGGATCAAACATACTAGTCTATGTGAGAACAAACAGTACTATTTTATTACAAAATAAATGAATAAATAAGCAGTGCATATCCACGCCCAGAAGCTGGAAAATGTTTCTTTTTTAAGGTACCCTAATCAATTCTATAAGTAACTTGAAAGACAAAGGCTCTAGTACCTTACTGACAGAAGGTATATGCTCCCCCTCCCTTTCCTCCCATACAGATCATTCTGCTGTCAGTGCAAAGATCCACAGAATCCTTGTGGAGGGAAGGGGAGCAGTTAGCTAGCTGCATCAAAGCAATGCAACTGTAGTATCTGTAACATTAATGTATGTATTTACAGAATTAAACCACATTAAGCATGGTGGCATTCAGAAGACCAACCCTGTTGCAGGCAGTGACAATCTGCATGTAGCATTTACATCAGCTCTCACTGAGCAGAGACAATACAAAGTCCTTCTCTGAAAATCATACTGAATGGTGATAAAAATCTCAGGTGGAAGAAGGGAAGTATGTTTCAAATGCTTTAAAAATACATAGCTGGAAGCACTCCAGCTCTTGCTGGTGTGTGTGTGTAGGATTTGCAATAACTGAAAGCTACAATTCAGGTTCTCACTGAAGAAGAATCTGGGCATTAAAAATTTTCCAGAGAACATGATCCCTTCCAGCAGCAAAACCTTGTCCTCAGTGCACCAGCTCAGGAGTTTTGTCAGGTTCCCAGTACAAATAAGTGAGCTCAGCTCCAAACCTTGGAAGCTGATCAAACTGGCTATGCTAAAAAAATAGATAGAACACTAAAGTGACTCTTACAAATGACAAATACAAAGCCCCGTGGCCCAACAGATGGTTAGAAACAAGGCTGAGGAATGACTGAGCCTGGAATCAGGCTGGGGTTTTTTATAGAGAAAGCGAGGGCAGATGAATGTGGAAATTACATTGCTGCTGTCCTCAGGAAACTGATCTGAATGATAATCTGATGAATATAGATTTATCCAAAGAGTCAGTTATGAACTATAATATCGCATACACCTAAACCAAGATATATACAATAAACCCTTCTGCATTCGTACAAAGTTCAGAGCAATGAACCCTACCACATCACAAATCATTAAGATTAAATAATGCAACCATGTGCAGCACAAAGCTAGAAAGCAAAGCTCCAAAGTACTTTTAATGGGCAGATTGATTTGTTTCAGTCCTAGAGCTGCTTACCACATGAATCAGCCCTGATCCACCTCACTCCTTTTATGCCCCAGCAAGCACAAAGGAGCCCATGAATCAATATTTCTTGATCATAGTTTTAGAGTGTTTCTCTGGATCAAAAGAAAAACCTACTGCTGAGGAAGGTGGGAGAGGGCAGCTCCTGTGAGGGGAAAAGGAAGAGACATGATCCACTGTTTGGTTTTACTTCGCCTGCATCTTCCATGGCAGAATTTTGGGATCTCAAAGCTCAGCCACTGCAGGAATGTACGATAAATTGAGAGACTCAGATTACTCATTCCATTGTACATCCCTAATAGCTGCTACAAGAAAGCAGAAGGCAAACACTCAGATCTCAAAGACATTTTTGATAAGAAAAATAAATGAGAACTGTAATAAGCAGTAGGAAAACACATGGAAAAGACATGAGCAAAACACTTTGATTTTTCAAAGGAGCTATCTGAATTCTTGTAACATTTATGCAAACAGGAGTCATACAGCTGCTGCACTGCAAACAGGAATGCTATTTCACAGACAAACGTTGTCAGGTGCCTACCCCAAACAGCTCACAGTTCAGTGTATTTACATAAAAGCTTGACAAGAGTTGCGAAGAAGTATTTCAGTGTGTCCAGAAAGCACCTCTGTACTGAAAGCAGAAAAATCAATGTGCTACCTTTCACTTACAGAAATAATTAATCTGTATTTAGAGTCCTGGAAGTCACTTTCTGTGGTTGTTATAAGGGCTGAAATCTGCACTCGCTGTCAATAACAACAAAATTACAGTTACAAAGGATTTGACTCCTGATCATCACTTCTGTACCTGACAGCCTCTATGAGACTTCCCACGAATAACAGGTATCCTTTGCCCAGTGTTGGGCTGATTGCTGGAGGCTTTGAAAGACTTGAGAGAAACAGGAAATACAGTCCAAAGCAAGGAACAGGGATGGAGTAGCTCAAACAAACAGGTTTGTAAGATTGGAGGGTAGGAAAATTAAAGGATTTAAACATTTCTAAGGATTACAGAATAATGGGAAGAGACGGTAGCTATGTATTCTGCAGTGACAATTCTAAAGTTAAGACCAAGCTTAGGGGAATATTTTTGATGGAATACTAAAACTGCTGCTTGCAAGAAACCAGACTGAGCTGCCCATGAAGCCCTGAACAGCTTAGGGCTGCGTTGTTTTCACTTGGGGCTTGACCTACTCAGGATCAGCTCCCAGTGAAATCATTCAAGGCAGGTTTTTAAGCACCAAAAGGCAGATACTCACTGACATAGATCGGCTTAGCTACCTCTATATCCAAGCCTTTCTTTCCAGATATTCTACTGCTCTGTGAGAAGTGAAAACAAGAGGCTAAACAGCCCTCAAGCACTCTTAAACAATATACAGCATACAGAAGAAAATAACTACATAGGTACAAAATATAAAACCAAATGCAACAGTATATACTGGTCCCAAAATGGGTAAATAAAACACAACAGTAAGACTTAATTCTATTTGTAACAAAAATTCAGGAAGAGTTCAATAGGATATCCCTCCAAGGTTCCCACAGCTTTCAGAGATCTAAACACACAGATGTCAAGAAACTGGAGACTGAGGAAACAGTAACTTCATGACCCACATAGGCCCAACGGTCACAGGGTCACTGCAAGAACAATGCAACAGCTCTTCCTGTCAGCAGTGCTCACAAAGGTGGGCTGCACTCGTGCCCATAGATCAGGAGACATCTGAAGCTCTGGAGAAGCTGACTTCATTGTCTAACCCACTGAGATCCCCAGCATAAAACCATTTTATTTGGATGTCTGCTATACACCAATCCTTCATCCAGCTATATTTTTGAGAAGACAGTGACTTTGCCATCATGAAAACAAATCACAAAGGATTACAATAAATTTCAAAGTGTATTAAAAACAATAATGTCAAAAATATTATCTGGCATCTCAATCCCACTTGAATTTATGTTATTTATTCCCATTTTAATCTACATTGTTTTTTCTCTTCTTAAACACCTACGCTACATAGGTCCCATGCTTCATTTATTATCATTTCTCGTCCTGTTGGCATCCACAGGCTCCCTGATCAATTTCTGTTACAGTCTCATTATCTGAGTTCTGTAAATAGGATATTTCATTTTATTCCTTTCTGTAGTCACTTTGCAACCTTCTTTCTCTCCTCCACCTGCGGCTCTCCATTTACCATGAGACAGTGGGCAAAGATTGAGATTCAGTAATCACACCTCCCTACCCTGGAAAAGGGAATCATTTATTTTTCTTATGGATGGAAGCAGCTGTGAGCTGCTCTGAAATCCCACAGGCAATCCCACAAAAAACAATCCTTACTACTTGTCAGCTTAATAATAGAAAGTGTTGGCTCCCATCATGTGAAAAATGTATATAGCTGGATCACAATATATTGCAACATTTGCATTTGGATGAATAAAGAGCTGAATCACAACCCAGACACCAGCATGCTGGGCACAGCAGGTTCCACCTGCAAGAATATTAAAGCATTACCCAATTCATCACTGACAAAACATGTCATATCCACAGCCCTTGGCATTCAGATGGGACTGCTCCCAGAAAACTCCCCCCATTCTTTATGTCCCCGAGTTACGTTTACTGCTTTCAGGCCTGAATATTTCCTTACCTTTCAGCCTTTGCCTTAGGTTCCTGGGATCCTCTGAAGGTTTGGGTAAGCTTCTGAGTGCTTCTCCTAGAAGTGTAAACGTATCCTGAAATAAAAGGAAACACAGATTATTTGGGTTTGGAGTGAATGGAGTCACAGTGGGCATTATTAAGTAACAAAAAACCAAATTCCCACTCTGCTCACAAATACAGAGATCAATCTCAGGGCTTCAGGAAGCACTACTTGCTCACTGCTTAGAAAAGACCTGCTTTCAATCCGACTCCCTTTCAACAAAGGAGAGAAGAGTTTTTCCTGAAGGAAGATCATCCTGAGGAATAGCACCAGAAGACCCAATGCATTCTATAAGTTGTAGCTTACATTGCCTACCATCTGCTCCAAGGTTATTCCCTAACAATAAAGCTGGACCCTTTGTGACAGCAGACACACAGAAGGCAGTTCTTCCAAGAAGCAGTAACAGTCTGTGTGAGAGGCCTTAGCCACCATAAAATGTTGCAGTGCCCTATCCTGAGACTTCTACACCAAAAGATGAATAAGAAAGTAGGAGCACAATCGCCTATTGTCACATTATTTTGTTACTTATATTTTGTCTTGGACAGTCTGTCAGAAAACAAGCTGTGGAGAAATAATCCAGACATACCCACAACAATTACATGACACCCTGGGAAAGACCTTCAGCTAAGGAAACTCAAATTACTTGATCAGTTATGTTAGTCCCAAGCATTTTATTAATGATAAGGAGCACTGCATCTAGGTCAATCTGATCCCACTGCCCAAAGTCAGAGGGAAACCTGGCTTACAGATTTCTTTAGTTACTGTATGGGTAAGATGTACCACAACTTTTCTTTAACAACATTTGCTTACTCTTAAGTAAATCTGTTCTTCCAGTTTCTCTTGGATTAAAGCACTTTCCATCAGAACCTTCTTTCTTCTGCAGAAGGTGATCTTGGCTAGCTCTGCCTCCTTCTCCTGACAGTCAGGGCACACCGAGGGATCGTGGATCCGAGTTTCTGTCACCTGAAAAATGAGACTTTGATGCAATGAGCAAAGTTTGTCTCAGCAAAATATGACTACCCCATTAAGAACAAGCAATAAACATACAGATACAGTCTAAAGACAAAGATGTGCTTTGATAGGCAGTTGTAAATTATTTTGTAATAAGTACTGCTCCTACAGTACTACTTAATTCCTTGGTCAGTTTACCCACCACAAAGTCTTAAGCATTACACAAATCCCAGCATTTGTGCATTTATGAAATAGCAATAATAGTCTCTTATGTAATTTACACAGATTCCACCTGGTTACATAAACCAAACAAGCTACTACAAAAGCAATGCAATCAATCCTAAAATGTCAAGTCCCAAACCTCTTCGTCTTCTTCCTTGACGACTTCTCTACATAAAAATGTTATTACACTGAGGTAAAGCCAGAAGCAAATAGACACAGAAGTCAGCTACCGCTCTTAGAAAATGTATTACCACACTGTAAGATAAGAGGCAATAAGAATTCTACAAAATTTGGATGGTGGGTTGGTTACCATTAATACAGTGAAAGAATGCAGATGGCTGAAGCATCAGAGCAATTTTAAGAAACAGGAAGCCTGAAAAACTGACTTTAAAAGTATCACAGCTGCTTACCTGGCATAGGCATTGCAGGGGAGTACATTATCACTTTTGCTCTGCTACGACAATAAAGCCAGCAAATGACATTGAAATAAACCAAAATAAATTGCTGATTACTACTCAAAGCTCATTTTCTGCTTTATCAGAAATACTTGACCAGATGCAGACATTCTGTACTAATCTCAAAGTACAGACATTTCCAAGGCCCAGATTTACAGGCAAAGGCATCTGTAGGTAACAGTGACTACTCAAATCTGTATCACCACATATTCAAATCCATCTGCAAGCACAAGGCAAGAATGCAAGTATCACTGGCCAAAAAAAGAAGAGTCTTTAGGCTCTCAGATGCAGAGCTGAAAGGAAGAGCCATGTCAGAATGTGTTTTACAAGGGGGAAAAGGCACCAGGCTGGTGAAAAAGAAAAGCACTCTGAACTGTGTAAAAATGATGGATGCTTCTTAATATAGGAACTGATGTCACCAAGATCCTACTGGGCATGTTTTAATTCTTAACATGACCTAATGTTTAAGCTGGAAGCAGGAGGAGGCTTTGTTTTTGGAATACTTCTAATACTGGAGTCACAAGCAAACAACATGCAGAGTACTTCCATAAATAACAGTTGCAAACATAACCATCAAAGCAGGCTGTTTTCTTCAGCTGATCCAGGGTTTATTGTGGACTGCAGTAACTGCCCACCCAGCCTGGCTCAACCCCACAAATCAGGACTTTATCAGCAGACAGTGTTCTGTAATGATGGGTTGTTTACCAGCAACAGTTCTGCAGCAGTGTCAAATAAATGAGAAAGGTATATCTTGAGATACAGAGCAAAAATCTCTCAGAGGCCTGAGTATGCCATAAGGGCTATCTGATCTGATCCTTACATTACAGCTTTCTCAAGCAGTGGTTCTCCCAAAAAACCGTATTGTTTCTTCCTTGCAGTACCTGTTTAACAGTCTCACCGATGTTTTTCAGGCGGATTCTGTTCATCAGCCCATCAGGAACAATGCAGCTCAAGTCATTTGTGTCTGGTTTCTTTGCTGTCAATCCCAGCTGCAGCTTTCTTGACTTGTCACTATTTGTCTGCTTGGAGATCAGCTGCTGATGCATCCCACTTATCTTCTTAGTGCAAAAGGACCTGAGAGCATCCAGTTCTTCACCTGAGAGTTCACTCATTTCTGTCAGGCATAGATCAACTAAACAAAAGTGTTAATCACTGTATTAAAGGGAAGAATTCTATCTGTGGAACCCAATAAAAACCCAAACCCAATGTTAAGCCTAGAGTCAACAACTGTAATAACAGCAGTGCAAAGTTTAAATACAAACCTGGATGATAACTGTAGGAATAAACATCTGTATGAGTAGTCTTCGAAAGAAGGGAGGACATAAGAACTCTAAAGAATTAGACTACTTAATGATATGGCACATATACATTAATAAAGCAACTACTTAAGTGCTGTGATGTTAAACTGAGTTTCCATTATTGTCTAATACAGATTCAGCTTCTTCGGACATGAAACTGAAACTTGCTAAACCAAAATGACTTCATATTTAAAAAGAGCTATGCACCTAGTAACTCTGAGGAGTAACTCCTAAGACACTGAAAAATTAGTGCAGCACCTATTGAAAACACCTCAAATATATTCTACAACCTACAGTTAGGCTTTTTAAAACTAATCTTAGAAAATACTTTCCTCTAAAGCTTCAATGATCATTTCCTAAACTCTTTCTATGACCTTGTTTAAACATCTTTCACCTTCTCTTATCCTTCCCAGTGGCATGTAATTACAAATAAAAAGAGAGCTTATACTTCAGATAGGCAGGCAAGGATGGAATTACAGCTTCATTCAATGCTTAGTGGGAGATTTTCCACAGGCTTAAACACAGCCAATCAGTAGAGTGTTTCATGAGCATCAGCATGTAACGATGCTGTGTAGTACGATGCTGCCCTAAGATACCACTGCTTTCAATTATATAAACAAGGAGAGTACCTCCCTACCTTTATTACACAGGTTTCGGTTTTATGCAACTACTGAGGCCCAACTAAACACTTTACGGTGTGTAATTAAAGGAGAAATGAGAAGACAAAACACTGCTGTAAGCATTACTAAAGTCTCATCAACACCTTTGCACGTAGCTAATGCTAACACAGCGTTCCCTTCTCAGGGCTCCACTCTGACCACCAGAAGAGTGTTTGTTTTCACTCAAAGTCTTCAGAAATGAATTATACTGCCCATTCAGCTGGAAAAGAACAGCAAAAAAGAATTTTCCACTCGAAAATTTAAAAAAACCCTCCATTTCAGTGCTTGAATTCAGTTTTACTTTTTCTAGACAAACACTGCCTATTTCACTGTGTTTGCCTGCAATCAGTGCATTGGCATTCCAGTCTTGTGGAGTACCCTGGCACAACCACAACAAATCCTTAAAACACTGAACAACATGAATGTAGAACTTTGCCTAAATGCATTGCAATGAGTTTAGTCTCAAGTACACAAGACAGAGCTGTGGAATCGTGCAAGGAATCCAAGCATCTCTTCAGAAATGCAGTCAATCTCTATAAAGGATAAGGGGATCTCTAGTTAAGCCTAAGCAAAGCAGGAATCTTGCATATGGGCTCTGCTGAACATTTGTGACAGTTTAATACCAGCCTAATACAATCATTTCAGTTTCTCCTGGCATCCAGAAGCCCATTTAATTCAGAATTGGTTTCTAATAGTGCATGAATTGGGAGCTGCCATACACCCACCCACCTGCTCCATTTGCACCTACAGACTTGAGAAGAAACAGCAGCAAAGAGAACAGCATTTTAAACCTGACTGCACAACCAATTTCAAAAGGTTACTTGCTTAATATTAATTCATGCTTAACAGTAAATAAGCTCAATGAATAAAAACGATCAAGGATCAAGGACAGTCATTTTACTGGAACAACAAAAAAATTGATGAGAACAGTCAGGACACAGTTAAAAGTTAGTCTTTGAGTGCACAACTGTTGACACTTTCAGATTTTCTCCTGGTTGTGCAAGGTTCACCTGTCCTTCAGCTGAAGGAAAAGAGGATCCCAGCACTTGCTGTGGTGCTTGGGATTATTTCTAGTGCTTTTCACATCGTCCCTCCTTTCCATCTCCAAACTAGACATGCTTGAACACTCCATCTCCATTTGTGTGGCAGACTTAAATGTCACTGCACGTCTGCCCACAGAGAACCCCTGTCAGGGTCAATTACTGTTCCAGAAGTAGATTTTGCTGCTGCTTGGCTGCCCCGCATCCTGCATTCCCATATTCCCTGTGCTGGAGAGGAATAAAGCAGGAACAGGTGACGAGAGTAGCAAAACCAGACACCAGAATAGGGATCCAGTCAGAGCCATGTATCATACAGCAGTAAGGTCACAAAGCACAGAGTATGAGAAAGTGAAGCCCAACAAACTGGACCAAGAAGCTGCTGTGATTAAAGCAGCACTCAGTGTGTACCAACAGAGGTAAGCTCATTTCCATGTCTACATTCTAAACCCTGCTGTGCAGTTTATAACTGACCTACATAGATTTTGCCTTCTGCATGCAACTACATCTTTAAATATGACATTTTAAATCTGTATGAGTGGAGGGAGAAAAGTAAAGAAAAGCTTCACTGAGCTTCCTTTTCCTTTGATGTCTAACTGATTTAACAGGAAAATAGGCAGGCACTTTGTTGTTATTATGTGCTACCAATGCTCTATTTTAAGAGGAAAAAAAAGTAAGACAGTTAAAGGAGAGGTAATTATGAAAGGTAGGAATTGACAACTATTCTTCAGGAACATTTTAATTCTGCATTTCAGGATGTACACTTGAGTGCAGCAGTTCAGATCAACACACATGCAGCACCTCCAGCAAATGGTGTTTGAAAGCCTCGTGCAGGTAACCCACAACTGATACAGTTGAAAACACCAGGCTCTTTACTGGCTTTAAATTAATAATTGTAATAAAGTTCCTCCAGCATGGTGAAGGATACCCCCAGTTTCCACTACCATTACTGAGACAGCAGAACAGCAAGAACCCTGCAGAATCCACATCTTTTGGAAAAAAAACACCTCTTTCCCAGCTCCATTAATGAACTGCATTCATTTTCTTTACAAGCAGAGGTTTCCCTTTAGATGTCTCTGGCTGGAATTCCCCCACGTAGCCTACATTAACATTATCCTACTACAGAATCATAACTGAAGTTTGGAGTCTCAGGGCCTAACTAGATCTGCAGGAATCCCATAACCAGTGCATGTTATCAAGCAGTAACCTTTAGTACTGAAAAAACTCAGGAATGGGAAAGCGCCAGCACAGGCTGTTAGATACCCGCTCCCTTCACCAAACAGAGCAATAGGATGCTTTCTCTATGCTCATAAATAGACTACTACAACTTCCAATGAACACTTCCAATAAAGTACTGCTATTTGGCAAGTCAATAATCAAACACTTGGACATAAGGAAATTTGTTCACAAAGTGAATATGAAATAGATCAACTCTGAAATACTCTGGACAAGCTGGAAAACAATCTGATAAAAAAAGAAATGCTTTTACTTCCCTCTTTGTGCACATGCCAGCACCTTTCACCTTAACACCACAAACCACAGGTACTTATGTGCCTGTATCTACACTGGCCTTTTTTACTTACAGATCTCCCAGCATCGACACCACTATCATAGTAACAATAATGGCTTAATGGGTGATATTGACTGAACTGTATTTCAGCCACAAAACTGCTCAGGCATTTCTGTGCCTCTAAGTAACATTAATAACTAAATCACTCTCTCTTTTGCCAGCAACAGTGCAGTGGTAACACTGCAGAAAAATAAATGAGCAGTCTTTAATGCAGACATATTACAAATGTGAGAGCAAACCTCTGAACACAGAGTAAGTCAGAGCATTAAAGCCCCATATGAACTTTAACATACACCTGAAGAAATGCAGTTTCTTGCAGTAAAGGTGGCTGATGGTCTTTAGAATAATTCGGATGGAAACGGGGACTTTGAGTCATTTTGTGATGCACTTACCTAATAACAGCTCGTTGCTACAACACTGGGGTAGAAGGGCAGAGGAAGACAGAAAGACAACTGTGACAAAACTTCTCACTTCTCTCAAGGCCAGCAGCCAGGGTTTTCCTTTTTCAGCCCACCAAGAAAACTATGACAAGTAAGAATATCATTCCAGGACATTCCCATATGAAAACCAGGGATCCCCCCTTTTAATTCTATCAGTAGTAAGATAATAAAAAGAAGTTCTGTTTTATTACCTGAAGACAAATGCAGAAGTACCATGTATGCTCAGCATATACAAGTCATTTTGCTGAGTTTACTGAGGTGAATAATGGTAAGCTCATCTTCTATTTTATTTAATAGAAAATATCTCCAATTTGGTAACATAACAAGAAGCTTAGGGGTTACCAAGTACTGAATGAAGTTAAAGAGCAGGAGGCATTTGTAGATGTTAGTATCCAGAAGCTGATGTGCCGATTTTGTTTCTATATTAATATTCCATGACTAAAGCAATGTAGTACATGGCTGAGTATGACTGATGCTGATGAGTTTAGGGATAACTTGTCAATCACATGAAAGAAGCATAAGCATGAACCTTATTTTATGCTCTTAATGTTGACAATGGTTGGGAAAAGTGTGACAATGTACCTAAGAAGTGCTTGGCTGCCACAATGACAAGCAACAGGGCAAGCAGACAGAAGACAAGACAGCCCCTTATCCATCAGCACAAGCTAATGAAACAGAGCTTGCTGCTCAAGACTGACTCTCCTCACCCATTAAAACCCATAAACCAAAGGAAGAATGTTCCCTTATGCAAAACTAAAAACATCTGAAATTAAGAGGAAATATCTTCCCAATCTTCCCAACTGTTATCTTCCGAAGGAAAGCTCTGCAGAGATGGAAAACTTCCTCCACGTTATACCATTATTTATCACTCATTCAATGAGCTCATCAGGTACTTTCCGTGTCCCTATGAATCAAACAGTCTCAAGATTCTGATGCAAAATAATTTAGGAAGACTTTAAAACAGAAGAGATGTTCCACTCTATATTAACCATCTTCTCACTTGACTACATGGCATTCTTGGAAATCTAGCAACAGAAAGATAAATGCTGAAGATGAGTCAGGAGCTCACACATTGACTCACCACTATTGTGAATGAGCCACACAATTAAGAATAGCCTAAAAATTATCTTGGGTCATGTTTTGCTATGATACATATGGATGGTTTGAGGATGCTTGTGGATAAATACAGTGCCATTAAGCACCTAGGCAGGAGGATCTCCCCAGTTCATCACTCCTACAGGTGACGTGCAACACTTCAGAGTTCGATCACTTTTCATGTACATACAGACTGAGAAAATTCCCCTCCTGCTTCAATTATTTTTGCTCAACTACAGCTTTCTTGCTCTTTTAAATTTGCTTTTTTCTTTCTCATCAAAAATAGTATCTCTGACCCATTTTTTAGAAAGACTTAAGCAGGACTTGCATCCCACCATCTGCTCTCACAGTTCCTTGCATAACCAGTACATGCAAACAGAATCCTTCCTTCCTTCCTCCCTTCCCCTCAAGCCACTACATCATTGTGTTGGGTAAAGCTGCTCCATTGTTCTTGCTAAAATTGGTGCCCTGCTGCCTCCCTCAGCTTGGGAAAGGAACTAAAACATGGCAAGGAAGTAATTCAATAATTAGCATCACTGATAACACAATTAACTCTGAAGTCATGTTTATTTTGGAGGGAAAAGACCCACAGTCCAAGTACCTGAAGAGAAAAGGAGAAAAGCTAAATAGCCAAGTAATATTTTGAGGATTACATTTGAATTTAAAATGTGGATACACTTTTTAATGCATTTATCCAGATCTTGTGATAATGCATCACTACAATAATGTCACCGCTTCAGAGGCAAAGCCATGTGTGTGTTACGGGACACAAAGTGCTTTCCGAGAAAGTATGAAAGAGAAACTTCATACTTAATTACATAGCTAATGAAACCAGGCCGATTCCTGGCTCAACTTTAACAGCTTGCACAGAAAAATTAAGTCTAGTTACAAGTTGATATCCCCTTTCAAAAGTAGCAAGAATTACAACCTCTACTAAACTTACTGAACTCACCAGCATGAGTTTTGATGACTGATCCATCTTGCTTAATGTCAGATTTTTTAGTTATTAGACCAATCCAGCGTCCCACGAGATCTCTTTCTGCAGCTGCAGAATCTGCTACTTCAGGCTGCTCATCTACAAGGAAAATGAGGTAGCTTTGAACATATATTGTAAAGGAAACAGCACTGCAGAAAAAGAAAGTGGGAGGCAAATAATCCTCCACTTGAATGAGACAGATTTCACTGGTGAGGGAAAAGGAACCCCAAGCCACAGGACTACACAGGCAAGATCAGTGATTCTGGGGTGCTGAGAAAGCTGCTGTCATATGAAGTATTTCATATGACCCATTTCTTATCACCCCACTGAATGACAATATATGATACACTGAGAAAAACAGAGGCTACTGCTTAGAGCTTGTGACACAGCCACTTTACCTGTAATGCCAACTTAACCTCAATCTACCTCCTCCCACATTCAGCCCATCACTTATTTTCAGGCCTACACAGGCTCCTCCTGTGTGGCAGGACAAGTACTCTTGGAAGTGCAGGTCAACTGTTTTGAGGAATGGATTCAGGTGAAAAATAACATGGGACAGGAAAAATAAAGAATCTCTGTTCTCCAGCTTGTTCCAGTACAACTCCAGTTCCACAGAAACTGAGGAAACAGCAAAGATGTGAAACAGAGTAGCTGGGAAAAGTCTCAAGAGGTCTGAAAAGTCACGGCCACACCAGCAAGATGCACATGGCGTGGTCCCAGTTCCAACTACTGAGCACACTATGGAAGTGCCTGACTTCTCTACTCCATTTTCAGGGTTTTCATCTCAAATTCAGTGGGCTTATACAAGGAAATAATGTGTCCATGACAGGTTTTCTGTAGCTTTTATTATTTATACATGCTGTTCGCAGCAAGATATATTGCAGAAAGCATTCCATTTCCAAAAATATTCTCCTGAAATGATTCCCCAGTTTCTCATTTAACTGGTAGTATTCAGAAGACTTCATAATTTTATGAAGCATTAACCTTGTAAAGATAAAAAGTGATAACACTTATTAAAAAAGCTCTCTATACACACAGCTTGTATTCCTTGATGCCAGAAATAAGGATTTCTGTGTTAGACACGAAATAATTTAAAATAACCTATTATAGCTCCAGAAAAGAAGGTTCATTAAAACCCTTGTAAACCTTGGTTATTAAAACCCATTTGTAAAACCCCAAAATTTTAAGCAAAACTGTTAAATCTCTTAGACCCTTCAATTATACCAATTTAACACGAATTGACACTAAGGTAATGATCATTTCTATTCAAATTTTTGAAGCTCTGATATCTAAATCTGTATCTTGTGCTACACTATACATGGTTTATATTCATGTATGCACATCTGACAGCAAATTCTGGCCCACATTGTTGGGATTTCATGCCTAAACCATAACTGGGAAGTATTCCTAACGGTAATGGTGTTGGTTATTACTGCAGAGTGAAAAAAGCCCACCCAAGTCAAATGTTGGATGGATGAGGGATATCTCTACTAGACTTGTCTACAATTTTTACATTTTTGCTGATATGAATCTGCACTGCACAGATTTAAAGAGAGGTCTCAAGCATGGCAAGTTCTGCATACCTGCATGGTTTCAGCCTGCCAACTGTGACATGCTTTCCAACATACCTGACACAGCAGAGCCCTCCAAATCCTCTGTGGAACAATATGATTCAGGTGGGTCACTTTCTCTCTGCCAGTGGGCTTCCTCGTCCTCACTGAAGGACTCAAAGGTATCTTCTGAGTAGTGCAAACCAGAGCTGCTATGGCTCTGGCTCAGTTCCATCTGCTGCTTTTTGTAGTCACCAGAGCTATCTGCTGGGGCAGTCAGCATGGTGCAGCACTGGAAATAAAACAAGAGCATGTAGCAGGTTGTTATACAGGAGTGAGTGGGTTACTTAAGGCATTGGGGAAGATGTGGAGGGCTGCTGCTCAGCTCACACTCAATTTAGCTGCCATAACAGGTGAATGAAACCTCTACTTCATCACCACACAGGGTCGAGTCAACACCCTTCAAAACATTACTGCTCATCAGGGTAGTACGCAGTTAAGATGTGCTGGGTAAGCACCCAGTAACAATTACCACTAAACACCAGCAATGAATTCTGAGCAGTATCCCTTTCTAATCCGTAGTGAATTACAGCAACACTTGGATAAATACATTCATTAAAGCAAAAAGTAATTGAAAAAAAAATTATTTTTTGCCTTTAGATTAAGCCTCTCACCACTCAAAAAGCAAAACTTCCTTGTTCTGCTTCAATCAGTCTAGAAAATTAAAAAGAAAACATAACAAGCACCAGCCAGTTGATGTTCTCAAATTAGTCACACTCCCAATGTGAAAAAGAGAAATCAAGTTCTCCAGATTCAAGCTCCAACAACAAAGCAAACCTCAGACACCTGTCATGTAACAGACAGACTTTCAAGCTTTGCTCTTACTTACTTTACCTTTTTCTATTAGAAAGATGAAATACCCCTTCTACCTTTGAATTTAAGGACTTAAATAACTTTATCCAGAATAATTCTGATTCTATTTCTTCCTAATCTCATAAAGTAAGGCAAGTAAAAGTCCAGAGGTTTTCTTTTTAGGTTTGACACAGTCCCCAGAATTAAAGAGTTGTTCTGATCTTGCATTAAATATTAATCAACACTAAGCAATTATTTTGCTTGTTACACCACCACTGATACAGGCTGGAGCTAGTTATTAAGATCAAGTCTGCTGGAGGAAACCATAGGAAATACAGAGTCAATTAGCTCTCCATCCCATAGCTGACCTAAGACGCTGTAGCTGCCCAAGCAGCATATGGATGGTGAAGGAGTCAGAAGATGAATTCCAGCAAGTAACATGACTGGCTAAATTAGAAACGCTTCAGAGTATCAGATATGACTGATATTAGCTGATTTTCACAGTGAAAAATAGGTATTGGCTACAACATCAGCAAATAAATAACTCGGAAGCCATAAGTACACTTATAAATAGGAAATAAAACATGTTTACAGGCAACAGGAGTAAAAACACAGCTTTTACTCCTCATGAGGCTGAGGCAATATCTACCCTAACAGCCTGGCAGAATGCAAGCTTAGGGCTTCAGGACAGCTTCTGAAAGACAGAAGCCACAGAACTGCTTAAACTGTGTTCCAAAGAACCTTTTTACCATACAGACACGGTGACGAAACCTTCACCACCACTGACACTGCTATGATACGGCACCAAAACCAGAAAGAACTCTAGAAGTAAGCCTGTGGGAACAGATCTCCATCCTCTCAGTAAGGAAAAATGTGATTGCAGCACACTACTCATGAAAAAAAAAAAAAAAGCAGCATTTTCACCAAGTAACAGGCAATTAAAACTCTTCTCTGTGCACTTTCTAGTTAAAACCCAAAGGCAACAGATGTAGGGGGGTGTTTGTTGGGGTTTTTTGATCGTAGAATGGTTTGAGTTGAAAGGACCTCAAAGCTCATCCAGTTCCAACCCCCTGCCACAGGCAGGGACACCTTCCACTAGAGCAGCTTGCTCCAAGCCCCTGTGTCCAACCCGGCCTTGAACACTGCCAGGGATGGGGCAGCCACAGCTTCTCTGGGCACCCTGTGCCAGCACCTCAGCACCCTCACAGGGAAGAGCTTCTGCCTAAGAGCTCATCTCAATCTCCCCTCTGGCAGGTTAAAGCCATTCCCCTTGTCCTGTCCCTACAGGCCCTTGTCCAAAGCCCCTCTCCAGGTTTCCTGTAGCCCCTTTAGGCATTGGCGCTGCTCTGAAGTCTCCCATTAAGGAGCCTTCTCTTCTCCAGGCTGAACCAGCCCAATCACGGGTATGACCTTTCCAAAACTATTAAACACTTACTTTAGCTGACAAATTCCCTTTAGAAAACCCTGCCAGGACCCAGATCCTCAGCCTATGTCACCACACGGCTTGCAGACATCAGGCCTTCTTGAAACCTCCCCAGGGACGAGCCCCAGCACCTCCACTCGCCCGGCTGGGAGAGCTTTGCTGGCCGGGCCGGTAACGAGCCACAGAGCGGGAACCCCAGCTGCGCCTGCCCCCCTCCCTCCGCCTCCCCTTGACACCAGGCACCTTCCCCTCCGGCCTCACACGGGCTCCACACCTCCTCCTCTCCTCACACCGCCGCCATGGCTGGAGCTCCTTACCGGGGCCCACCCGCACACACGGTACCAGCAGCCCCTGCGCGCTGCGCTTCGAGCCGCGGCGGAGCAGCCCTGATGAAGGCGGCCCCAGGACGGGGCGTGCCCGCCGAGCTCCCGAAACCCTCCCCCGTGCGCTTCAAACAGCGGCAACGGCGATTCCCGGCTCGCGGCTCCGCCCCGGCGGGCCGCGGAGCTGGGGGAAGGACCCTGAGGGCAGCGGGTGGGGCCGGCGCGGTGAGGGCGGTGCCGCCGCCTCCCTCATGTGTGGCGCTGAGGCGGGCAGGGCCTGAGGGGTGTTTGGTTAAAGCAGGTCATGTTTCTGTGTAGTTGATACAGGATCAGAGAATAGTTTGGGTTGGAAAGGACCTTAAGATCATCCGGTTCCAACCCCCCTGCCGTGGGCAGGGACACCTCACACTAAACCAGGGCACCCAAGGCTCTGTCCAACCTGGCCTTGAACACCACCAGGGATGGAGCATTCACAACTTCCTTGGGCAACCAATTCCAGTGCCTCACCACCCTCACAGTAAGGACCTTATTCTTTATATCCATCTAAACTTCCCCTGTTTAAGTTTGAACCCATTACCCTTTGTGCTATCACTACAGTCCCTAATGAAGAGTCCCTCCCCAGCATCCCTATAGGTCCCCTTCAGATACTGGAAGGCTGCTCTGAGGTCTCCAAACAGCCTTCTCTTCTCCAGCCTGAACAGCCCCAACTTTCTCAGCCTGTCTTCATACAGGAGGTGCTCCAGCCCCTGATCATCCTCGTGGCCTCCTCTGGACTTGTTCCAACAGTTCCATGTCCTTTTTATGCTGAGGACACCAGAACTGCACACAATGCTCCAGGTGAGGTCTCACGAGAGCAGAGTAGAGGGGCAGGATCACCTCCTTGGACCTGCTGGTCACGCTCCTTTTGATGCAGCCCAGGATATGGTTGCTTTCTGGGCTGTGAGCGCACACTGAAGCTGGCTCATGTTCATTTTCTCATCGACCAACACCCCCAAGTCCTTCTCCACAGGGCTGCTCTGAATCTCTTCTCTGCCCAACCTGTAGCTGTGTACCTTTTATGTTGGAAGCATGGCCAGATACAGCCAGGACAGGCCAGGGGCCAGTGTGGGTAATGCAAAGCCCTGCGTTGTCTTAGGGTGCTTGTTGTAGCATAGCTGCTGCCTCGGATGCAGCCCTGATGTGGAAATAAGGTACAAGAGGTTTGTCTTTCAGGGTGTGAAATCTATCTGTAGCTTGAGGTGCGATTTCAGTAGGTTACCTCATGATAAAAGCAGCTCTTCTGTAGACTGTGATCTTGGTTTGATGCCCCTGGTTCAGGTTAGCTGTTAACACCACCTTTTCTCTTACAGTGAAATCATCCTTTTCATCAAGAAAAGCTTATTCTTCAGTTCTAGGATGCACAGTGTGCTGCCTGGCATGCAACCTGTTGCCTGTCAGTTGCAGAGGTGCTTTATCCTCATAAGCAGCTTGTGCTGTATTTGGACTCACTTCCCAAGGTCTCAGCTTGGCTGGGGTCTTCAGGACCCTTCTCTCGGGTATGATTGGGCACAATACATGGTGTTAACAGCTCAAGTGATCTTTTCCCTCTTGAAAGAGAGGACTCTGTGCTCCAACTAAACGTGTAATATAAAGAAAGCCTGGCCAGCATAATGAGATAGATCCACAGTATTGCAGAGGAGCAGATAAATGCGTTGGTACAGAGGAGTGTAAAGCAAAGTGGAACAAACAGGTCTGCCTACATGTTTAAAGATTCAGTTGTTCCCTGCTTTCTGCAGAGCAGACTGTGTGGTGCTGGCCCTTTTCATTTCGTCTAGCTTGCTACAAGAAATTAAAGTCATTTACACATGCTAACCACTTCTTTTACATTTTCCATCCATACAAATTATAGTGGTGATCAGGGATGTGTGCAACTGCAAATGGAAGGGGCAATTACCCATGCTGCAGGAAGTGGGAGTCAGCTGAATAGCAATGAGACCCAGGCTGTCAACATGATGAAGGGAGGAAAATTAAATTAAGAAAGTGGATGCCATTTAGATCAGCAAACTCTGCATTGTGTACTAAACCTCTCCAGCCCAAAGAGTCACCTTTCATTGATTGTTCTGTGTTGTGTGTTCCTTCCTAGGAAAGCAATGTTGTGAACAAGCTAGCGAGCACCCAAGCTGGGTAAGATCAGTGTCAGGAAGAATCTCAGAGGTAGGCTGACAATTTTCATGTTCTGGGTTATAAATGATGGTGAAATAGGGTTGGGAGAAATATCAGTAAAGTTCTAATCAAGGTAGTAACACAGAGTAACTTGAGATCCTCACAGTTTCCACTAAATACTTCCCTGGCAGCTTGATGCTTGATTATTTATACCTGTCCTTTGTTTTTATGGGTATTAGATTATTACTGACCTGGTTGGTCTTTGAATTTTTTTCCTAGAGGTTAAAGATTTTGTAGTTTCATGTGGTCCTTTTTAAAATTCATAATTTCAGAGCATGGAAAATGCATTGTTCTATCAAGTTTATTTCTCTGACATTTATTCAGTGGAGGATGTGATCCTAATATTAAAAGCTTTTGATCTGAAGCCCAGGGTACAGCTAATTCTTTTCATTGGTCTGCCCTAAACCATCATTTCATTATGGTGGTTCCCCTTGCTGGTGGCTAGGAAATTAATATGTTGAACAGCATAATTATTTGAACCAGTATTTGTTTTTAAAGGATTTGTGGGTGATAACAGATGGTTCAACCCAGTTGTGTCAAAAGGCATTAAGATTTCTGTCTGGTAATGTCATGGAGTTGGTCCTGTATAAAGCCATAAATAATACTATGTGAGAAGCAGCAACAGGCTTTTACTTCAACTCATCTCTTTATCATATGCTACATTAAATTTAAACACAGTTGTTGAATTCCTTTGTGTGGGTAAAAGCTTTTAGATGTCTCCTTCTATTAAAGTTGTAATATCCCTTTTAACCAGAGGGCTGCATAAGAACTCATACTGGCTAGGTATGTTTCTCAAATAATCATAATCTCATGAATGCTGCCAGCAGAACTAATTGGACTGACACAACGAGGTTCAGGAGCCAGCTGGAGGATTATGGCATGAGGCCACTGGAACTCAGTGTATTCTGATGGTGGAGAAAATGAATGTGACTCATTAGATCGTCATTAGATGCTCATAAGCATTATTCTATATGGAAAGGCAGGTGGCTTGAGGTGGGTTGTTTTGAACTCTGGAAATATGAAGGACAAATGCAAGAACTCATACAATAGAGGTTTTCTTTATCAGTGCTTCATTGAAAGTACCAACAAGTAGCACCTCAGAGCCATGAATTATTGCTGTGAGAGGATAGTTTGGAAACATTACAAAGGAAACACTCGAGGGCACGCAGCATCTCAGGAAGTTGTTCAGGGCCTGCCAGATTTAAGATGGTCATTTTGGTTTCCATTAATTCACATCTCTAATTAGGAAATGGATTTATCTTTGCTTCTAGTTGCTGGAGACTGGCTGGTGTCCATGGCAGGACAGAAGTGTGCATACAAATTAAATGTTGAAAGGGTCCACTGATTTTCAGCAAGGAAAAATGTAGACCTGTACTTGTAGGTAGCTGTTGTTAATTACGTTTTGGTTAGTAGCAGGAAACCACAATTAGCTGCATTTTCACAAGGCTTTAAGGTGGAGAAAAGTGGACTAGAAATCTTTTGTGGGAAAGAGGTAAACCGTCTCTTGCTATGTTGCCCTATGTCTCAGTAGCATCTCTGCAGGCAGGTACACTTTTACCTTGGTCAGGCTTGGTAACCACCCTTGGGAGAAATATCCAGTGAAGATCCTGGTTGTGAAGAATGTGGCAAGTGTCTTTTTATACCAATCTTTGTGTTGCTCCTGTGGGTTGCTGGAGAGCACTGTACACCTTCCCCAGTGTAACCTGAGGAAAGGGTGTCCTTAGGATGAAGCAAAGCAGAAATCACCACTAGTGGTTGTAAGGGCACCACAGCTGCATTTCCAAGGCTGGTGATGATCTCAGTGCACAGGCTGGATTAGCATAACTACGCTCTACCTTTCTGATTTTGCTTTGGGCTTTCAGATGGATAAATATTTTTGCTTACTGTGGGTCCTGACATGGTGGTAAATAGCAAACATCCTACCTTGACATGTTTGGGTGTATTTCAATGCAAACTGCAGATGCAGATTGCAGATATCGATGTGAGTCCTTTCCGAGTTGGGCACTTGTGCATTATTCCTCAGCGCTTCTGAGCAGTAATGCATTCCCTTAGATAGTCATGTTGTTGGGTTTTTTTCCTGCACATGACATTAATGAACATGAAAAAAGAAAACTTAGAAACCCATAGAGTAAATGTTCAATATTTTCTTCATTTTCTTCTCTCCTTTTACTATTTTTGCTTAACGATTACCCTGTGGACCATCCTGATGAATTCCCAGTGAGTTGCCGTGGGAAGAGTGTTCAAAGGAAAAGGCAAAGTCATCAAGACACTTTCAGCGGATCGATATTAGACTTATTAATCATTTTCCTTCAGTAATAGATTGGCTCTTTGGGGAATCTTTCAGAATTTGCTTCAGACTGATGAGTTGTTTTGACAGTTCAGAAAATGCCTTAATTTAGAAACTGCAGCTTTTCATGTTGCTGCTCAGTTTAACCCGTCATAGATCCATCTGTTGTAAACACACAGTATTTATTCATTCCTGGGTAGTTTCTGTGATATCAGTTTTGTGGTATTGAAGTGTCCTACACATGCTGTAAGTCATATTAGCAAGGCTCTTTCTGCTCTTCTAATTCTTTATTGATGGAATACCATTTCTACTGCAGAAGGTGAACTAGTTTGTTCAGAGGACATTGCTTCGAGATCTTTATAATCTCCTCTGGAGGCAGGCTTAATTCTGAGGAATCTTGTGGTCCTGGAAGAAGGAACATCAATATTGCTCTGAGCATTTCCTCACTGGTGAGGAGGTGAGTTGTTTCAGGTGGTTGTGTTTTTGAAGGAAGAACTTCTGACTTCGTTTTCTGGCACTGTTTGATAATGCAGAAAGTGGACACAAATCTGAAGTTTGGCAACCAGTTTGTGCCACTTCCTGTCTGTGTATGTGTGGAGATGACGTTAGTCTAAGAGAGATCTTCTCAATAAATACAGCCTCTATAACCTTAGGTAGTGATTTGCATTGTATTGGTGAAGCTCTCAGATTCTTAACAGTAGTTCACTTGAAGCATGGCTGCTGTTCCCAGCTCCTGTGGGACAGATAGCTAGAGGTGATCACACAAACCACTTGGTACTTTGTGGAATGTTCCCCAAAACTGTGTGTTGAATAATGCTGCAGCTATTAAGGAAATTTATCCTTTCCTTCTGTGTGTGCTGCTTATAAAGAAAACACAACTGTGAAACTGTTAACTCTGAAGTCCCATTAACAGAATGGACTCATGTAGGTAAATTTTGGTGGGCTTGTTTTGGTCTCCAATTATTCCAGTCTGATAAGAGTTCATATGAAGCATATCAGCATGCATGTCCCTAAGATATCTTTAAAAAACAACTAAGTATACAAATGGGAACACATTCTGCACTGACTCATCATACAATTTTGAAGAACATTCAAAACATCAATTACTCTCAAAAGAGATGTAAAATAAGTATTAGTGCTGCCACACTATAGGTAGGAAATCAAAGGCATGAAGAGTAAATGACTCCTTGAAGGTCAGACAGAATGACAGCAGAGATTCCTGGATTCTAATCATGGCACTTCTTGCTGTGACAAGATGCATCATCTTATCATGATGATTTTCTTTATTATCCTTTGATAATGCAAAGTTGTCTACTTGGTTATGTTACCATTTAGAGTGAATCATCATATCATGACATTCTTAAGTGCAAGATCAGAACTTTCAAAGTCCTGTGTTTTTTCCCCAACTTTAATAAGCTCACTGATGGGTATTTATGAAATAGTTATGCACCTTTTGAGTTGCTGAGCCACCTACAGAGGGAGAAGATAGATAGTAGGAAGCTGACATTGACTTTGGCAGACAGGCTAAATGCTGACATGCACAGGGGACTTCCAGTGCCTATGTATGAAAGAGGATTTTCAGTGTGAAGTGTCTCACAAGTACTGTCAAATGCAGTTAATGTCTCGTTATGTGAACTAGATTTATTCTCTCTGTTTTAGAAGCTTCAACATAGGCAGACTTAATCCATTACATGTGATATCACAGTGATCTTTGCTGGTGGAGTTGGGGATGGGGAGCTCCTGATAATAGAAAAGAAAGGGAAAAGCAAAAATAGTGTCTTTAGTTTTGATGCAGACATCTGAAGGCTCTGTGTCCACTTGGGATAATGGAGAAAGATGAGTCCGATTCCTTTTGACTCCATAGGTGTGCTTGAGCCACATTGCCAGATCTGCATGCTCCCCAACCTTCCTTTCTGTGAGAGCTGCTGGCTCTAGTGATCTAGTGATCACAAGTGCCCGTGAACCTTCCTGAGCTTCTGAGCTTCCTTCAGGTAGCTTGAGAATCAGAAATACACCAGAGCAATGGACTTGGCTCAGCCCTATATGTACTCCTGAGGAAACCATTCTCCCCCATGCCAGTAGAGCAAGTCTTCAGCAGAAAATTAACTTGATGATCTGATTGTAATTAGTTTCTTGATTTAATGGCAGTAATATTACTTTCACAATGGTTGTCATTGCGCCAGCTAGTAGGAATAATAGAATTGGTTCCCTTAAAGGCCCCTTTATGATGCATCCTCTGTTGAATCTTAAGCAAGAACAAGGAGCCTGTGGTTGTTTCAAAATGGCAAGATTTCTGTGGTTAAAAGTGTCAGGCTATCCTGCCTGAGATCGGTGCCTGGGAATTGCCAGTATAAAAAAATGAACACTCATAAAGTTAAAATATAGTTTGAATTGATTCCATTTCATTCTGAGATTATGTTTTTCTTTCGCTGCTAATTTAGACACCTGGAAGTTAAAGTCCTCATAAAATTGGAAGCAGGGAAACAAAATCTTTAAAGAAATTAAACAGCATGGGATGGGATGTGTTTACACCAGTATAAAACCAGAATGACTCCACAGGAGATAATTAAAAGCAACTGAAACAAATGGACTGATCTTAATATCCTAATGGGCAAAGTGTCATTAAAGTATCATTCTATTTTGGTTACCTCAACTCCATATGCTTTCCAAAACTACACTTAAGATGGAGAGCTATGAAAACTTCTAGCCTTCTTTAGTTTCCTTTTAAACTTGCATGAATTTAGCTCTCCACAGCTAAATTCCCTATTTATTTAGCTCTCCGCAGCTAGATGAGAATTGGATTAAGTGTCTTCACATTGCAGTGTGTTTTGAACTGTGGACTTGAGAGCCTGGCAAACTTTGCTTGGAAACCCATCCTGCTCACAAATGGATCTCCTGAGTCATAACCCTCTGTTCAAAGAGTATCCAAATACTCTGAATAGAGGAGGAGTGTGGGGCTACCTGGCAGGCCTGTGGCTCAGGTGAGGTGCCTGGAAAGGAAGTCAAGGTGTATCAAGTCTGAAGAGGTATGGTACAGAAGGGTTGAACTTGATTTGGTGCAAGGCAGGTTTTGTTCCTCTCATCTGCACAATCCATAGATGGATTCAGCAGTGAAAAGTTATCTACCCAGAAGAGCCAAGGTTTTGCCTTGTCTGTCAGCTCCCTGTCAAGCTTTGTTCCCTTAAGAACGTATCTACATCCACCCTTCCTTTGTCCTCGTTAAGTGGAATTTTCCGTTATTATTACTTGCTTCTATTTACCTTTATAAATTCCTTAAACTAAGGAAGACTTACAGCTATGAGGGCTTGAGCTTTCAAATTCTTCATTGCTAGAACACCTGCTGACTCCTGTGATAGCTCAGCTTAAAAGACTCTGCTGGGTTCTTCCTGAATTGTGAGAAGTACATTTATAGTGCTCTTTCAGTTATAAATAATAATAATAATATAGACTCTGATCTGCTGCATCCTTATTTATGTATTAAGCTGTGTGTATGTATGCAGCCCTTGGGAATTGTTTATGAAATAAGGGCCACGTTGATACAATATTGTATTTTTGTGTTTATCATTAAATATTTAAAGCAAAATAAGCATAAGAAATGGGTGGAAGATGCATTTTGAATGGAGATTGTGATGAAAATATGGAACAGGGAAATGTGTTGCACTGGAATGTGCTGCTGGTTTCAATCAACAGATGACGTTTAAAGATGTATTTCTGTTCTATCAGGAACCTGTACCCAAATGTTCTGAAAGATTGACAGATTCTGAATGTGTTTAGATAATGTATGGCCATAGAGACACAGACTTTGTAAGAGTGAAGAGGTTTTCTGTTTGCAATGCTCTGTTATAACCAGCTGAAGCATCTCTGACAATGTATTACTCTACAGTGCAGATCAACAAAGAACAAATCATTGTCAGAGCAGAGCCTCAGATATTAAAGCTATAATTCAGCCCCAAAGTTGACAGAGGAAGATGGGGCAGTGACACTGTGGCACCATCAGCCTGTAACAGAAACTGTTTCTTGTGTGTAAATGTACTCTGCCTGAATACAATTGCTTGTCCTTACAACAGGGTCTTACTGTCATTTTGGTCCTTTGCAGCATCAGGGAATGTTAAACACAAGAGCAAGCTTGAATCTGAAACCAAAAGACATCTAGATAAGGTGACCTTGATCTAGGCTGATAGAATCCAGGAGTTACAGGAGCTTTATTAAAAACTTAAAAGCTAGGCTTTATTCCTTAAACTTGAGGCATAAAATTTATTTTTTTCTCTCCCAAGTAAATGAGACCCGTTACCCAGGGAAAGTAAGAGCATTGTGTGGAGCATCATGTGTTAGTTGTGTGACTGCATCCTGCTTGGAGCAGCAATGCTGAGCAATGGAATTGTTCAGTGACATGAAGTGAGGAGCACAGTATCCCTGTGCCTTCTGCCCTTTCCCTTCCACCCACCTTTCCATGTGTCAGAGGTCTTTGCAATCTACTCCGAATCGAATTTCTCCCTAAAGCACCAAGTAACCTTCCTCGGACCGAAGTTGCCACTGGCAACAGTAGCCTCTACAAACAGATTGCAGTGAATGATATTTGCTATACTTCTTCCAAAGAAACTTTGTCTTCCAGAAGGAACTGAAGCACAAGCAGTGCTGTTAGCCATGTGAAACCCAGCCTGCCTCTGCTTCCTTTATGGATATATCATGCTATGAGGGTTCTGCTCAGCTACCTGAAAACATTCAGCAAGAGCAGCCTCAACATTTGGTTTCCCTCTCTGATTCATTTAAGAAGAAAACCCACCTTGTCTCCCGCAGCTGCTCTTTGGATGATGATGATGACAGTGAGCAGGCATAAGATGCTCCAAGCATTGTAATCGTGACGATGTCTGGGGAGCTGAGTTAGTGTTAAGGATTACTTCAATCTATTTTATCCATTATTCTATCTATAAGAATGGGAAGGTTTTTATTATATTAGTTGTGTTTGTCACAAACAAAGAATACTCTGCTCACTGTGATAAACCTGAAGCAATCTTAAATAATGGACTGAACCTGCATTTTGAAGGGGGAGAATCCACTTTAATTGTTCAGGCATTAGAGAAACACAAAGGTTGCTATTCGTTACTGTGGTTGGGTTTCACAGCACATAAATGCTTTCTTTGGTTGGGATTTTTCGTCCTGATGATAAAGCTTCCTTTTTAAGCAGAATTTCTCTCTAACCCTGCATATCCCCTGGGGAGATTTCAGCTTCTTGCCTAGTTGATAATGTGAAGATGTTTGCATTTATAAACAGATGACTAAGGTGGCTGGATGTTGTATTGAGATTTAGTAGTTGTTATTAGGGCTTGTGTTCCTGCAGACCCGGGATGGGAATGTTAATCACTGCAAGGCAGAGTTATGAGCTTCTGATACAATAACAAGTATTTGCACTTATGTGGGCTGGAGCCTCCTGAGAGATCTAAAATTCATCTCAGCCTGTTGGTAAACATGCTTTCCAGGTCGCACCTTGTCTCTCAGGATCCTTCTCTGCAGGAACTCGGGTGCTTTAACATCACCTTGCTGGCCCCAAGAGAGCTGATGATTAGTGCAGAGATGAGGGGGGATCTGTGGAACCTTTTCAGGCCCTGCTCTCCAGGTTTCAGGAATAATCTGATCTTTGGGATGAAGTTTTTCCAGACAAGCTTTCTTGCTTTCTCCTCCTCTCCTCACTCACACAACATAATGGCTGGAAAAGACTTCTGCTGGACAAAGGTGGCAAGATCAGGTTCTGTACATCTTGGTCTTGTCATTATGCTGTGACAGAGCAGCTCTTCCTGTGAGGTCTGAACAAGTTAATTACTTGATGGTGAAGAGCTAGTGTACAAATGCTGTGTGTCCACACACAAGGATGTGCTACTCAGGGCAGTAGGTAAGGAGTGGGAGCTCACAGCTGTGCTGTTCCCTATTTTGCCTTCTCTCCAGGGCTGTCCCTGCTCATCATGTCATTATTCTGATAGCAGAGCTTGTGACTGCTGGGCCATATGCTTCTTGCATGGAAGCTGTGGTAGATTTCTTCCTGTTTCCTTTCTGTTCACTGTAACATGGCTGAGAGCCAGTTGTGTTTGTCCTTTTTCTTCTGGTGTATGGAAGGATGCTCTAAGTGTTAAATTAGATTACACCTGAGCAGAATTATAACTGTTGAAAAAGCACTGAAGAGAATGTCTGTCCCCACATGTGCAGTTAACACCTCTAGAGATCAAGAAGGTAAGAAACACCCTTGTCCTCAACAGAACTCCGGGCCATTTTCTTTGCATAGCAGCAATAAAAGTGATGACCACTCCCTGCTGACCAGGGGCAAGAGAGACCTGCAGCTCTGTTCCTTACATCTGGGAAGGAGCAATGAGCACTGTGCATTCATCAGGTTGGAAGCTCTTTAACTGGGAGGTGTAGAATTCTATTAGCATTTTAGATGAACTCTGGAGCTCTTACAGATTTGCATTCCTACATGCACACACTGGCACAGAAATGCTAAAGTATCTTCTATTTTCAGCAGCAGAGAGCTAACCTCTGGTAAGCAAAGCACTAGGGAACAGAGGCACTGCTTGGAATAGATTAACTCCCAGCCACAGAGAAACACCATTTGGATTTTTCTTGCAGGAGATACTATGCTCTGGTTCTTCAAACCCCAGAGCATGAACAAAACTTAAATTATTAAGGCAAATAGCTTAGGGAGTTTCAAATAAGGATTAGACAATTACATGAGTACGAAAAGGCAGGATAAAAAGGGCTGTTAAGTTGCCTGCATCTAGTTATGAATTCATCACCAGGATACAGGTAAGATCCCCAAAGCATTGCCACCAAGGAGCAGGTGTCTGTATGAGCAGTGCTCTCTCTCGGAGCAGTGACTTTGGGTGTATTTCTAGGTTACTAACTAGAGACAATTTAAAGAGACCTTGTTTTTCAGGAGGTGGTGGTTTTGCTGTTTCCTACACTCACATTCCTATATTACGTGAAGAGAGGACTCCTAAAATAGCTAAATGCTTTTGAATACCTGTTTCCTATGAGACAAGAAGCAAATTGTTAATCCCCTGGGACTGATCTGAGCTCAGAATAGATTGTTCTTGTTCTTCTGTTTCAAATTCTGCCTAATATATATAGTACTAATTCCCTAACAGCAAAAGGGAAAGGGAACCTGGAGCCCTTCAGGCAGCACTGTGCACGTGTTACATGCTACAAAACCAGGAGGAAGAGTTTCACCTTTATCTCTAGCCTTACCCCAACTTCCTCACATAGTGAAATAGCAAGCTACTCTTCTGAGGTGGGCAAAGGGAATGCAGATCTCTGGGGGTTAAGCATGATAGGAGCTTAACTTGCAGGTCTTGGCTCACCTTCCAGAGGTTTCTGTGTCTTTGCATTGACTGGAGAGAGAGCAAAGCAGGCTGAATGACTAACTGCAGTCCATCAATGCAAAGGTTCTGCCCTTCTCTCATGTCTAACTGCTTCTCCCAGCTCTGCTCTCTCTTAATCGTGCCAGTCCAGCTCTTTTTTGGGACCCTGCTGGAATACATCTCAGAGTCTTTTAAGGATGTTACCCAAACATGCCTGGCTTCACGTGAGTCTGTTTTCCTCTTCGAAGTGAGAGCTTATATTGAAACAAATACGTAGCTTTCTGGCCTTTCCACAGATATCCTCTGAAGCTACTTAGATCCTTAGTAGGCAAAAATAGCCTTCTGCTTCCTAAAATGGGGATACTCTCCCAATAAATAGGGGATACATTTCCATTAGCTTATGTCATTACAGGACTCCTGATGCATATATGAGCAGTTTTGATTCTTTCCAGTAGAAAGCAGCAATGCACATATCCACTGCAGTGAGGATGAAGCTGTTCCCTCTGTGTCTTGTGAAATTACAGTTACTGAGAGGATAAACCCAGAAGAATGGCTTTAGATAAATCTTTATCTAAACTATCAACCAAGAGTTTCTCTCTCACTCTGTCTCTCATTTCATAGACCATTGATCAATATTCCCATGCAACCATCTTTTAATAGCAAAGGAAGATTTCCTCCTAGGCAAGAGGAAAATAAATGAAATGCTTATTTGCTGGGACAGATCATCTGGAGCAGGGAAATCAGTTGGGATAGTTTATTCCACAGAAGAAGCAGGGGCACAATGAGAAAGTATTGTTTCTAACCCAGGAGGCAGATCACACCTTGTTTGGCAAAACCCTTGGTACACACAGGATCTCTGCTTATATTTGTGGTTGTTATCACCTGGAGAAGCCTCTGTGTAACTCAGGGTTGCTGGTATCTTTGATCCTGAATTCTTCTGTGATTGAAACACAGTAATCATGTGTGATTTATCTCTGCATAATAGATGCCAAGTATCGAATGGATCAGTGCATCCTTGAGCAGTGAGAGTGCCTGTGACAGGGACTGATGGAATTTGCCCTTCCCTTTAAATGCTGTCCAGCATTCCCCATCACAAGCTGTTAGTGTTCCCAAAGAATGCTGCTCACCTGGCTGCACAGAACATCTCTGCTCTATTTACTAGAGGACTCTGATGCATACACCACTTCTTGCTCTCTCACCTTCCTTCCTTTGCATCGTTGCAATTGAATTTATCTTCAGGTACAACATGAATTTGATAGCGAGAGAATGGGAATGAAATACACAGAGAAATTAAAACACTTTTTGACCAAGTTAAATGAAAATTGTTCCTAAAACCATCCCCAAAGCACAAAATGTTCCTGCTTTTATCTACAGATTATTTTTGAAGACACAGGAATAAATGTAGCAGTTCATTTTTGTATCTGAGAGGCAAGGAGGTTTCCCTGGAAATAACATGAGTTATTCTAAATCAGGCTGTCTTTTCTTCACCATTTGTCTCCAAGCCTCTGGAATGACAGGATCACAGCAGCAGGAGATGGAGAGATTTTGGAATACTTTTCTTCCTGATTAGGCCAAGAGCTTATGCAAAGAGCATTCTTCCAGGGGAAATAAGTATGTGGGTTTTACATCAAAGTCAGCTCAAGATCTGTACTGAAATGGGAAATTCAAAATCAGGAGATGAGGGAACAGAGAGGAAAAACCCAGCAACTTACAAAGGTGAGCTGATTGCTGGAGAGACCAGCACAGCACAGTCTATAACTTGACTGCTGTATTGTTTCCTACTTAAGTGCTCCTTCCTAATCTTCCCCAGTACCTTTTGAATCCACTGATCAAGTCATGGGTATGTGATAGAGGAGATGAGACCTCAAAGATTTGAAGTTCCTACAAGATTCACGAAAACCCATAGTCAGGTGGAAGAGACAAACCCTGTTAATACTCCCATGGAGAGGGGGTTTATAGGACTCCCCCAGTGTGACCTACTGCGGAGCCTTGGGAGAGCATCACTCGTTTGTCACCTTACCAGGCATCAGAGTCCATAGACATGAGGCAATTCCAGAGGAGGCCAAGCTTCAGTAGTTCCTGCTGCTACAGAACCACCTTTAGGTGGGTTTGTTACACTGAGAGACAAACCATTATGTTTTCACACATACACGACCACAAACTTGCATCCTTAATGGCTTGCGTGAAGAAGCCAAACAAAAACTGCATTAAAATGAGACCCCTATTAGAAGTGGGATAACGTTGTGACCCCTGTGCCCAGTTTTAGTGAGCAGAACCCAGATGGGCTTTTGCAGACGAGGGTCCTCTGACATTAAAAATAGTGCAGAAAACCCCCACATGTGCAGAGTACACTGCAAGTTGAATTCTGCATCATGGATTCTGCTGAGGGCAGAACTGAATCCCAATATCTCCAACTGTCAAAATGCATTTGGCTCAGTTATCCTTTTGCCTAAAGACCCAGAGAAACCAAGAAATTCAGCTGCAATCCATGGAAGTAATAAAGGGACATACATCTCCTCTCCCGTCTGCTTTAATGCCAGACTTCCTGGCATTCCTGCATTATTCAGAATCCTGATGCTGAGTGTCTTAGCAAGCAATTCCTTTCCCTTATGGAAACTCAGTAAGAAAATACCCTGTGTGGCTGTTCCAGAGCTTGATGTGTTCTTAGAAGTCATTTTACTGGTACAGGTACAACTGCATCTACAGTAGGAGCATGTCAGTTCAGAGCAGCAGTATGCCTGTATTTGGGAAATGTTGCTGGAGCTGAGTGCCCACAGGCCAGGACCTGGTCTTGTGCAGTGCTGGTTATCATGACATCCGGAGCCAGAACCAGCTTTCTCAGGCTCTGACAGAGTAAACATGAATAAAGTGAAATGATGGACAGGATTCTGAACTTCAGCTTCACTAAACCCATTTTCACCTTGTTCTTCCAAAGTTTTCCCTAGCAAATTTCCAAAAGGACTGGCCAAACGTACTGTATTACTGTATTTTAATCTGTGCACACACAAGTCTCATACTGAGCCATGTCCTTCATTCATTTGTAAAAGCTTTTCGTTTGTCTGGATGCTCTGAACAGGAAGGAACTGAAATAACCAGCAGTTAAAACAGGAGTTAACCACAAACACCAACATGCTGGGGTTTGCTCCTTGTCATAACCCAGTATCAGGGGACAGGTATTGCTCCCTGGCATGACATACCTCTCCTGTCCCTGTTTCTGATAAATGGGAGATGGCAGTCCCATGATAGAAGAACTACATGGAAAGCTTTTCTCAGTAAAATAATGACTGTTAAGGGCTTAAGAGAGAAAACAACATTATTCCATGCAAATAATTCTAGCAAAATCCATGCACAAAGCAATATGAAAGCATGCAGGCAGCTGGTGTACAGGCCGCCATATCCAGCTCCATGCCATGTTTCCTGGGGAAGGAAAACCATTCCCAGTTTCATCACCTAAGCAGCCACTACCTGATTTCCCAGCTGTCAGGAGGCATGTATGATTGGCTGCTGTGCTCCCATCATACATCAGAAGGATGAGGCAGCACCTCCTACAGTGCTCCTGCTCAGCAGAGCTTATTTAGTTTAAAAACCAAGCAGAAGAGATAGTGCCAAGAGTGCTTGGTTACAGCTGCAGCCCCCACAGGTCCTGGAGGGAATGGGGGAGCACAGAAGGATTTTTTGCTATGTTTTTTCCTGGAAACAAGAGACTGCAGCATCTTCCTCTCCTCCACATCAGTGGGGTTTGGTGCAGCAGCACATCCACTCTCATAACAGATGCTATGGCCATGGCTGTGCAGACACATGTACCCAGCCGGGAATTTGTCCATCCCTCCGTGCCCCAATATATGTCAAAACCCTCCAGTCTCATTTTGCTCCATGAACCTCCATAATTGCCATTATGCACCTTTATCAAGACACTGGGATTGCAGCTGGCACTTCCCAGCATGTGGGGCTTTGCTTAGGCACTGCCTTGCAAACTGTGGTAACATCCAATACATCATCAAGTGGTGATGTAAAAACGATAAATAAAAGCTTCAAAGCAATAGAAATACAGTCCATTTTCCACTACAACTTTGAACTTACATTGTAACTACTTCCACTTTGATTTAGGAAGGACCTAAGGAAAAAGTATAACTTCTGTATGAGGAATGTGGCTCCTTGCTTTGAGATCCCACAGAAACCTGTAGTTTTGATGGGCTTTTACATGCTGGTAATTGTTGATCCATTTGCTAGAATACCTGACACTGAAGAATAGCAAATCAGTGTAGCTGTGCTTGAAGGGGGTTCCTGTTTCAGTTCACAGTTGAATTGACTTGATTGGAATGATTATCCTTGGCATAAACATGAAAACCCATCCCATACAGCAGCCATAAAAGTCACTTCTGGGTTTACGTTTAAAACGCTGCAGCTCTGCTGATAAAAGCAAGTCTGTCACTTAATGCAGGGCAAATATCCATCATTATTCTGAGCCAAAGAAATCCATTCTACTGCTAATACCAATAGTGGAATAATCTAAGTTATGGAGCTAGGGCTGCTGGAATCTTTTTACAGTTCTGCCAGTACAGTGTGGCCTTGGAAAAGGGAAATACAACTCTGTAGCTTAGTTTCCCCCAAGGAAAGCTGGAGATACCTGTTCAGAAAGGGGGGTTGCTTTTATTCAGTACTTGACAAATCATGATTTATAGCATGAGAAGTAAAAGCTCTTTCAGTTGCTTTGGGGTTATTTTCTAGTAGCACAGAGGGGATTGATCAATGCTGTGCATTGACTGAGTGAATAAAAAGGAGTAAAACAGGGAATATTGTAGAGCCAGGGTATTACATAACACAGGAACCTGCTGTGCTTTGAATTAGTTTGGTTCAATCTGTCCCAAAAATCTTGGCTAAATCCATTTTGGTTTATCTCAGCTCTATTAGGACCAGAATGAAGTTGAAGAAAATCCCACCCACTGTTCAAACCAAGACAACCCCATGCAAACACAAACCGCATGGACACAGATCCTCAGGCCTTATGAGGAGCATTTGAGGGCTGAAGCTGTCGTCTTCACCTTTGCAGTTCTTAATTCTTCTTTCTCCCCAAATCCAGAAGGAATACACCAGGAACAATGCAGCTCACCTGTGTCATTACTGAGGATTAAGGAGCAAAGAGTATAAATCATTTCTTAATGAGAAACTGAGGGGAATAGGGTGGGGGCATCATTAGACAAACAAAGCAAAGGACCCAGCACAATAGATGCTAAGTAGCCCATTAGTCTCTGCTAAGTGCTGCTGCTTGAGTTTACAGCAGGAAAAGCAGTTTAGGGGAGAAAAAAAGGGATTTAGCATGAACATATCCTTTCTATCTAAAGATGTGCTAAACTCTGTAGCAATTCCTCTCAAATTAGTAAAGGGATAGAATTTACATAGAAAGTACTCCGTGGTTTTGCCTTAGTCCCCACAAGAGTTGATCTGCTTTTAATGCAGATGCTGACTGAGCCCGGGGTAATCCCAGTTTACAATGGGCTTGATGGGAGATGTTAAGCATATGGTTCTTTGAAAAACCTCTCTCCAGCCCATGGAGTGCAACAAATCAGTTAGTTCTTGTTTTCTCTTGCACTGTTAAAAGCAATATCGAACCCTTGACATATTTGACCCGGCTTTGTTGTCACAGACATTTGTTAGAACTAATTTAACTATGTAGAAAATGCTGTGGCAGGGATGCAGAAAATCCCAATTATGGCCTTGCCGTGAGTGTCTGCTCAGTTAAGCCCCTTTGCCTCCTTTTTGTTACTGTTGTCTCAGCTCTCCAATTGTGCAATACACAGAGGAGGGTGAGGAAAAGGAGGGTATGCTGGCTCCAAGCAGCCACTAGTCCCACCAGAGAGCAACTAAGGCAGCATTCCCAAAGCCATTTAGCTTTTCTCTTCAGCTCTGATCAACTGTTTCTCCTTTTAATTCTTCAGAGTTCCATGTGAACCTCTTGACCCTTCTCTGGTTGATGGTATCAGGAAGGTTATTTCTCTGCTTTCTTATTTAATTTAAATCTTCATCCTGAAGCTGCCTCCTGGGGAGTTTCATTTGAAGCTGACAGGAGCTCTGTACATGCTGCAGAGTGAGCTTCGGTCTACTGTCAGGTCACATACTACTTTACCTTTCTACTTCAGAACATCCACAGTAGAGAATAGTCATGTTTTAGTAAAGGAAGGACTAGCTGATAAAACTACCTGGTCTCCGTTTATAATGTCTGAGTCTACTAAGCATAAAATAGATCTTCCCAACAGCACAAATGTGATGGGAGTTGGTCTCTATTCCCAGAACATCATTTTTGTCATTTGTCTCTGACCTGACACTATCTTTTGTCATTATCGACTATCAAAATGAGACATTTAACCACATTAAATCCTCCATTCAGCTACAGATTTTCCTAAGCCAACTGCAAACAACAGTTACTTTGTAAAGAGGAAACCACTTTTGAGTGCTATATGCACTCTTAAGTTCAAAGCCTAACTTTAAAACTAGCATCCCAGCTGCTGTGCTGTGTATTGGCACAGTTACCAATAAATCTCAGGGCCCCTTTGCTCACCCTAACAAGGACAACACTTTTGAGTTCAAGTTTTACTTCTGGAAGCCTTAATTTACTATGTTTCAGTACTAAAAGAAGTGTATGACACCAGTCTTGGTATTTTGGGGAAGCTTTTATTTTTAGGACATTCTGTTTTCATGCTTATATTCTTACTCCAAATTTAAGAGAAACTGGCCAAATAAAACTAAGTCACAGCTCTGGATCTGTGAAATCTCCAATTCAAACCCATGGAAGAATCAGGAAGTTACTCAAATACATCACCTTGCCCTTACAAACTGGGATAGATGTGTGCTTAGTATAAGCGTTACGGCAGGATGTACTGCTCACCAGCATCAAGATGGAACATTCTGAAGTAAAATATACATAAACCAGTGTCAAATACATATAGTGTAAGGGCATACAGTTGTTCACAATGTATATTAGTCCTGCTGACTTACAAGAGAAGCTTCTAAGCATCTTTATCAAACCCATCTTTATCAAGCACCATCACCAGGAAAGCTTTGGCATCTACTCATAAGAATTTTAAGCCTCGGCCCCTGCTCCTATTGGTAACCCCTGTGGAGTCCTTTTCCCATGCCTTCACAGTCTCATCATGCAGGTGTCCATGCTGTGAGGAGGTGTTCAAACGCTCCAGCAGGGAGCAGTAAGTATATTTTGACAACTTCTTTCTCTCAGTGTCCTGCTGTGAGGGGATGCTTGCATCTTAACAGGAGTCAAAGCAGGCAGGCTTTTCCTGCATGCACTCAGGAAACTGACTGGAGTCTGGTTTTGTTCTTGTCTTACCCTGTAATCCTTCATCAGTTGTTCAGTTATGTGTAGATGAAGCAGAGTCTTCCTGGTGCTTTCCAGGCTGTCAAGTGTCTACAATGGATAACTCCACTAAGGCATGTCCCTGCCCCAAGTTGCCGAAAAGTGACACAGCTGCAGAAATTGAAACCAAGTCCTCAGCCATGTCAGCTGGACCATGGTGTGTGAGGACCAAAGGAGGGTGAAACTCATTCCTACTGTTCCTTGAGTAGGTATACCAGCCTCAGGATCTTGTCTTTTTCAATAGCATTAAAATAATACATGTTAAAACCCAAGAACCTAAAAGAAGTTCTAACAGGTCATCTTCAGAACTGTAAAAAGCCCAAAATGATGCACTTCCTAATAGCATTAAACATTTTTAAGTCCTCATTTCAGCCCAAAAGAGCTGTTTATAACAGTGAAATGGCATCCAGCTCATGGCTGCTGATGCGTCATCTCAGACATGTGCTCCTGAGTACATCATTTGGTCACTCTGTGCTACCCCAAGAGGAGATGCGTTAGCCCTGTGCCCATAGATTGTTCTTTTAAGGAAGGATGCTGGAGCTGTTACTGCAGTCTGATCTATTCTGTGCATAGCACATGAAGGTTGCAAGAGTTGTCCACTGCCAGGTGGGGGACTTAGGAACCGAACATCTTCAGGCAGCCCAAGAATGGGCAGGGATGGAGGAAGGGATGGAGCCAGAGTCATGGAGATGCTGCTGCTCTGAGGACCATTACTTGGTGAGCTTCTGGTGGCAGAACTGGAACTGGAGAGACGAGAGGGAAGATCAGGTTCGAGTAGCCAAGTCTGGCCAGGTGCAAGTCCACTTTGCTGCTCCTCATCCTGGGATTTTAAGCATTTGCAGCAGCAGATTCCAACGCAGGCTCCACCAACAACAAATGCCACAAATACGGACCCAACAAGAAGGAAGGGCAGGTACACAGGCACTGGAAATGTAAGAGTAACATTAGCCAAGCATTCACCCATGGTGTATTCCGGGTTCTGTTCTTCATTCCTTAAGACATGCATCCACCAGGGAGCAGAGTAATTTTACTCTCAGCTCTTGCTGCAGCAAGGTTAGAAACTGGCAATTGCTACAATAGGTTTGTGTGAAAAAGCCTAAAGCACAGAAGTTTGGACCAGACAGTCCGATAGCATCTGCCACTGATACCCAGGCAAGAGCTGTTCCAGTACTCAAATGTCCCAGCTGCTGAACTAAGGACTTGTAGTGGAGTTTTACAGTTAGCCCTAAAGTTAAATACATTACTTAGAGGCATGCCCATGCTTTAACAGAACAGGTCAGCAGCACACATGCTCTACCAGGAACATAAACATAGAGGTGCTACCAGATTACTTTGTTAGTAGCTGAAAGGTTTTTCTAAGAGAGATGGATAGAAAGGTATTTTGAGTGAAGCCCCAAGTTATTCCCTCTTCTAATGAAGGGAATGAGTGACTCTGGCCCACACAGCACCAAGATGAGCACTGTGCCAGGTGCTCCAGCCCTTTCTGCTGCAGGGGTCACAGCTTGGAGCTCTGAAAGGCAGAGAAAGAGAGGAAGGATCTGGCTGATGCCACCAGGGAAGGGTGCTACGGGAGATGCAAAGAAGGAAGCACATCTGCCGGAGGCACAGCAGCTTACCTGGCACCGGCGGCATGGGGCTGGGCTGCGGCTGGTCACCTGGGCACCGGGCCTGGTCCAGGCGCGCCTCTCTGGAGGAGCAGCAGTAGCGCAGGCTGCAGGTCCCGCAGCACAGCGTGGCCTCGGGTCCATCGTAGCGCTCGGGGCACTGGAAGCCGCGGTGCCAGCGCTGGGGGCTGCCAGCCCAGCCGTGGCAGAACTCCCCTGCTCGCCCCGAGCTGCAGCGCAGGGCCAGCAGCAGCAGCAGAGCACAGAGAGCCCCCGAGACCATGGTGGGTGCTCACCTTCAGCCACTGCCCTGTCTTCTATCCTAGCACAGCGCCCCCAGAGCATCAACTGCCCACCGAGGCCCTACCCAAGCTCCGGTTTCAGGATGTTTTATCTCTTGACCTGTGACCTGCCTCTAATCCCCTCTCTTTACAGTAACAAAGAAAGACCCACTAATTGAAACCCATTTGCAGCTACTCCACCTTCCTCATTTCTTGCCTTCATTCCTGCAGGGAGCAGCCGCCAGTTCCTGCTAGAGATGGCACATCTCACACTGTGAGGGCACTCTTGAGCAAAACTAAGGGGTGCAGGACACAGAAAGCCCAGGGTTATCCTGGAATCAAAGCTTCATTCCTTCAGGAGCTTGTCAGTACTGAAATGTCAGAGGTGGGAGGATGGGACTGAGCTGGGGACAAGATGAGGGCAAGTAAAGATATAAAGTTTCCAGAGCAGAAAGAAAATACAGTGATAACCAGCTTCTAGTAGGCTCTAAAGTGTAATTGGTACAAACTGGTATCAAGGTAATTTTTACCTTGTTTAACATGATAATCAATGAGATAGATACAAAAAAGGCTTTAATCTGGAAATGTAGGAAAAATCACTTTTGAAAGGTTTAAGATGGTTCATTTCTGTGGTTGAAAACCAACAGCCTGAAAATATTAAAGCACGACTTCTGCTTTCCCTACACAGAGTGAACCCATTAATTAACAGCATGTTTCAGGGGACAAAATGCCTATTTTAAGATCACGAGAAGGAAAAATCCTACAGTGTTCTAAAGGCCCCACAGCAGCACAGGAGTGTAATGACCTTTTCATCTGTGAAGTGAAAATAAACCCAGACTATCTGCAGTCTCTCTTAGTCCCCTTGCTCTATGAGCAGTATCCATGTCTGCAGCATGGTCATTCTGTGCTTAACTGCAAGGAGGAAGAAAACTGTTGCTAAGTGAGCACTTAGAGAAGCAGGGAATTAGGGCAGCATCCTTTGGAGCAGTCTCCTGGTAATATGTAGCACTGTTTGCAGCTTGAACACTCCAACACATGTTCTTGGAAGTACACAAAAGCAGTTCCCACATAACGTTTTAGGAGTGTTGCCACTGCTTGTAGAGGGAGGCTGCCAAAGATGGGAGTTTTGATCAATATTTGCACCAAATTAGCTCCCTTCTGATGATTTGTCGGTTGACTATTAGATAGCAGCTTGCACCTTTATGCTTTAGTAACTATTTCATAGGTTCAGTTAAATCACGTTTCAATCTCCAAAGGCATCAGCACTCATCACCTCAGTCCCTTTCCATGCATCACTTTTTAACTGGCTTTTTGGCAAATTTAGTTAGAGAGATCCTTGGATGCAGAAATGTTAAATGAAATCTCTGCTTGGAACTAGAGACCTTTCCAAATGCTGCTCAGCACAGTGAGAGATGCATTTTGCCCTC